GAGGGCATACGGCTCAACTTTGTAAGAATACCAATGGAAGAGAGGCTACCTCGTTCCATGAACTTGTACACAAGGGACAACTTACCATAAATGATTCTCCTTCCCAATTTTCATCGATCCTGCTTTAAAACCATCCATTTATTGCCCCCATAAAGCCATATTTCATGCTCGCTTGAAAAGGGGCCTTCCTTTTTACGTTGTATATCTTCAACACTGGACGTTTGTAGGGTGATTGGCGGGGGGTTTGAGGGTCAAAAAGAAAATCAATATATTAATTCGCTATGAAACGATTAACCCACCTATATGTAGATACCGTAGTCTCCAGATTTTCCACCGGACCGGCAGTATTGAAAATATTCTTGCACCCCCAGAATCCTGATGGTCGGTAAGAGTTAGTTTTGAATTTCTGCATAATAAAATGGCCAACAGGAACAACACAGCACACAACGTGAAGCCGCAGTCCCGGAAAAGGATACTTGCAGATTCTTGGCTTAGCTGGCGGCGATACGGTGTGATTTGGTGGACGTAGGATGTATGTATAGAAAGCAACCCAAGACAATGGGCTCTTCCTTCTCTGTCACACCTTCTCTGTCACATGGATACTTACATACCTAATCAGTATCTTTAGACCTATTCGTTGAGTCAGACCACGTTTTTTTTCCGGTTTCGAAGTTCTTGGGTGAGATATTGCACTTAATGATATGTATGATATGGTATGGTACCACAACCTCTTTTTCTTATACCCGGATGTATATAACAAAAACGATACAGGATCCAAAAAAGCTTTGTACGTCATGATGAAGCGTCTGCGAAAGGAATTTGTCTCGATAAAGTTATAAATGCCCCGGCGACCCCTAGGTACCTTATCAATTAGTCTCCCTGTACCTGGAGAAGAATGGAAATGTTGCTTTATTTAGATTTTAAAAATGGGTCAAGTGTGTGGCTTATATATCCTTTAGTGTCTCGGATTGGGTTTGGCGTTGAAATGTTCCCCTGTTGAACATCTTCAATAATTGGTACATGAACGAGGGAGAAAGGGTGGGAAAGAAGGACAAAATGGATAAAGTATAACGTCAAATTGGTTAAAGCAAAGGCGTTTTCTTTCGTTCTATGATAGAGTATCATAGACTATTCAAAATCCGGGTTGGTGTGGTAAGATATTGAGAAATGTACGAGAATCACAGCCTTAAAGGGGTCCTGGAGACAAAGTTACCAATGTTATGTGTTATGTTTACGAACCGCAGCAACAATCAACTTGATCTCGTATCATAGCATTGTCATCGTAGCAACAGCAACTGAGCTAGCAGATTCGTAAACACATAATTCGTGAGTTTATACCGTATTTCCTTTTCGTTAAGAGGCAAAGGCGGTGGGGGTAACAGTGTGCACGTTTACCCTCAGAATATCCAGCTCATTCATCCCCACCACCCACCACACACACTCTCTCTCTCTCTCTCCTTAAAACCAAACCATCTCCCTCAACGAAAGGAAAGGAAAGGAAATCATACTTCCCATTTTCATTCGTTTTCTTTTATCTACCGTACAATCTTTCTTGCTTGCGATACCCTTTTTGCAGATTCTACCAATATCTAAAACCCAACAGACAACAACACATCCCTTTTATTGCAACAATGTGGTATGTAGATATATATGCTTTTGGATTTGGAGATACTCGCAAATCTTCAAGATCAATAGAGACTTGACAATCTAACTATATTCACAGTGGAATTTTCGGATACATTAATTACTTGGTGGAGAAGGATAGAAAGTACATTCTCGATACACTTGTAAATGGTAAGATATTCCAGTTGCCCCTCTCGACTGAAGTGTTGTTTTTATACCGCAATTTCGAACCACCTCTTTTCATACTCGCACAACTTCCATTGTTTGATTGAGATCTGCCAACTAACAGTTTACAATTTATAGGTCTTTCTCGTCTTGAATACCGTGGATACGATTCTGCTGGTCTCGCCATCGATGGAGACAAGAAGAATGAAGTCTTCGCATTCAAGGAGGTTGGCAAAGTTGAAAGATTAAAGGCTCTCATCGAGCAGGAGAAGCCAGATCTCACCAAGATCTTTGACTCCCACGCCGGTATTGCACACACAAGATGGGCGACTCACGGACCTCCATCTCGTCTTAATTGTCATCCCCACAGGTACGTCTATCTAGCTATGGTATGGTTCTAAGCACTGCTGATGTGAGACTTGCAGATCTGATACAGACTGGCAATTCTCGGTTGTACACAATGGTATCATCACCAATTACAAGGAGTTGAAGACCCTGTTGACATCAAAGGGCTTCAAGTTTGAGACCGAGACCGACACAGAATGTATTGCCAAGCTTGCAAAATTCCTTTACGACCAACAACCAACAATCGGCTTCACAGATTTGGCAAAGGCGGTTATCAAGGAGTTGCAAGGTGCCTTTGGTCTTTTGATGAAGTCAGTACATTACCCACATGAGGTTATTGCTGCACGTAAGGGTTCTCCCTTGGTTATTGGTGTACGAACAGAGAAGCGTATGAAGGTTGATTTTGTCGATGTCGAGTACGCTGAGGATGGACCATTACCAGCCGAGAAGGCCTCACAAACTGCTGCATTGAAGAAGTCCAGCGTCGGAAACTTCCTCTCCGCCAGCAATGCTTTCGCTCCAGCAGACAAGTCATTGTTGCACAGATCTCAATCCCGTGCCTTCATGACTGATGATGGAGCTCCAATGCCAACCGAATTCTTCCTTTCTTCAGATCCTTCTGCTATCGTCGAGCACACCAAGAAGGTCATGTATCTCGAGGATGATGATATCGCACACATCCACGAGGGTTCCTTGAACATCCACAGACTCACAAAGCTCGATGGCTCATCCAACGTCCGCACGATTCAAACTCTTGAGTTGGAACTCCAAGAAATCATGAAGGGTAAGTTCGACCACTTCATGCAAAAGGAGATCTTTGAACAACCAGAATCAGTCATCAACACCATGAGAGGACGTTTGGATGTCGAGAACAAGACAGTCACACTCGGTGGTTTGAGATCATACATCGCCACAATCCGTCGTTGCAGAAGAATCATTTTCATCGCTTGCGGAACCAGTTATCATTCTTGTATGGCGGTTCGTGGTGCCTTTGAAGAGTTGACCGAGCTCCCAATTGCTGTTGAGTTGGCCTCGGATTTCCTCGACCGACAAGCACCAGTTTTCCGTGATGATACCTGTGTCTTCGTTTCTCAATCCGGTGAGACTGCCGATTCCTTGATGGCTCTACGATACTGCTTGGAGCGCGGTGCGTTGACCGTTGGTATTGTCAACGTTGTCGGTTCTTCCATTTCTCTCCTTACCCACTGCGGTGTCCACGTCAATGCTGGTCCCGAAATCGGTGTTGCTTCTACCAAGGCCTACACTTCTCAATTTATTGCCATGATCATGTTTGCTCTTTCTTTGAGTGAAGATCGTTCCTCGAAACAGAAGAGACGCGAAGATATCATGGATGGACTCGGCAAGATCTCGGGACAAATCAAGGAGGTCTTGAAGCTTGATCAGCCTATCAAGGAGCTTTGTGCCAGAACATTCAAGGATCAAAAGAGTTTGTTGCTTTTGGGTAGAGGCAGCCAGTACTCCACTGCTTTAGAAGGTGCACTCAAGATCAAGGAGATTTCATACCTCCATTGCGAGGCTGTTATGTCTGGTGAACTTAAGCACGGTGTTTTGGCATTGGTTGACGAGAACTTGCCAATCATCATGATCCTTACCCGTGATGAGATCTTTGCCAAGTCTCTCAACGCTTATCAACAAGGTATGTTTACACTCTCATGTTCCTTCTTTTACACAATTAATGCTAACATATCATAGTCATTGCTCGTTCTGGCAAGCCAATCGTTATCTGCAACCCCGGAGACGAAGAATTTCAGACCGGCCAAGCCGAGAAGATCGAGATCCCCGCTACCATTGACTGCTTGCAAGGTCTCCTCAACGTGCTCCCACTTCAACTCATTTCCTACCACTTGGCTGTCGCTGCTGGTCTCAATGTCGACTTCCCAAGAAACTTGGCAAAGTCGGTCACAGTTGAGTAGATGGTTTTCGGCATGGTTGGCATTGCTATGAAAGGCTTGTAAGCCTTGTCGATTTGGTGTTCTGCTGGACTCGGATGCATTGAACTGAAAGGAAAGGATGACCAAGGAGTCAACTGCACGTCAAGTGTTTGCCTCTTTAATTTTGCGTAGATAATGAGACAGCGATCGTGGGCACTAAAATTACGGGTTTGGGAATTTTGAAGGGGGGATGGCGGTATTTGCTAGCTGCTATTGCGATGGATGTGATGGTTCTCTTAGATAATACTTTTGCGGAAATCGATTGCAATTTGCGTAGGCCAATCAATGATAAGACATTTTTTGATATAGAACAAATGAATGCAAATATATTGCTAAGCTGATGATGATGGACTGCATTCATGATCATAATTTCACATTCAGCCATACACAAGAACAATTCGAATGACATACTGCCTATATGAACAATTTGAAGAGCTCGCTATATTACATTAAAAGCTTTGGATATCCATATGCAGAAAAGCTATCACGAACTAAAGACTTTATAAGCAAAAACTACTCCGCAGGCTAGTCTTCGGGCCTATATACTATATACCAGAAAAACATGTTCCCTAGGCCACTCTATCCCATCCTACCCTATCCCATCTCATGAGAACACAATGATGGTGATGATGATTATTGAGACTGACAAACCCGAGTTGAGGGAGGGTATCAAAGACGCAAGAAAAAAAGTAAAAGTAAAAGTAAAAGAAGATTAAGTGTTTCGTCAATGTTTTGACATGGTTGTGTGGATTTGTTCATCCATCCATCCATCCATCCATCCATCCGCCCCCAAGTTGATACCCATCAACCACTCTCTTCCCTGAGAATTCTCAGCCGACAATTAGTGTGCGAGTAGAGGGGTCGCGGGCTTCAGTTTATGAATGAGCTAGGTTTTCCCGCCCATAACTTCCTCATCTACGCTGCCTCGGGCATATCTTCATTCTCCTCCCTCTTCACTCTCTCTTTGCCAGGCATAAAATCCTTCCTTGCATCCTTCAAAGCTTGCGAAGGATCTTCGAGCCCATTGAGAAGTCTCTCCTTCTTGCTCTTGCCCTTGCGCCCCGAAGCCGCCAAATTTTCCAAATCCTCCTCGTCGCTGCTACTAATCTCGTCGTCGGAATTCTGCACCATGTGGATTTCGTTTCCTTCCTTCTTCTTTCTCTCTCGTTGTCCTTGCTTCATCTTCTGCAGATGATCATCGGTGCATTCTTTGGTAATGATGTGGAGGCCGGGGAGATTTTCATGGAGGAATCTTTGGAGGAGGGGAAGGAGATCGCCTTTGGGTCGGTAAGTACCACTGTCATTATCGATTACTAGTTCGTAATAACTAGGATCTTTGGGAGGGGAGTCGTGCGGTGGTCCACCGGGAAGGTCTTCAATGGGGTGACTGGTTTGGCTGGGGTCATCGGTCGATCGATGTGGGTGCTTCAAGCGACGGATGAAGAATTCTCCCGAGCATGCGATGTAGATGTTCACATTACTGTGCATGGTGTGTTTCGACAAAAGATCCACTCCAAACTCCTTACCAGTTTCGGTAAAACGAAGAAGTCCATCTAGTGAAAGCACATAGGTGAAGATCCTGCCCCCCTCGTCAAAATGTACCATCTTGAGGAATTGCAAAGCAGCCTCTTCGGATCGGGGTTTGAATACACCGTATTCGGTACTATTGCTGAAATTATATACACGGGCGTGTTGATGGTGAAGGGCTTTATTCAAGACTCGTCCTCGGAGACCGGCTTTTGAAAACATTCCCTTGACGAAGGGCTTAAATTCGACAAAGCGATGGTATAGCTCCGCGGGTACTGGACCTTGAAGTTGCATCTGATTTGCTTGGAAACTATCTTGTCAGCTTTGGCAACGTCACAGGCAGGCATGTCAGTGGTAACTTACTCATAGTTTTCGGTTGCGATTTTCCCCTCTGAAGAACTTCCAGGAGCTTTCGTCCCCGCGAGTCTTCCAATCATGGGTGAATAATGCTTGAAGAAATATGTTTCCGCCACGGTATACATCCTGCCGTATGGTTTCTCGGATGGCCCCAAGCATTCCGCGCTGACGTAGAGTGTCCCATCCATATGTACGTTCCTATCAAACATGGCAGCGCAAGCTCGTACGCCATATGCTCTCTTGCTACCCACCCTCTTCTTGATATCAAACGCTTTCTCTGAGAAGCCCTCCCAGTTTGGGCTCATGGCTTCCACATAGATTGTAACGTTGCCCAAACGATCATCATGATCTGCGGTGTCTTCATCATATAGACGGCATTTTAAGCGGAAACCACTTCCAGGGATCCCCGCTACCGTCCACGTCTTATTCCATTCCGGGTTTGTGTTTTTATGTATAGTTTGTGTTCGCAGAACGAGATCGGGATCCTCCTTGTGTCGTTTCGAGAGGGAGGAAGTCAATGTTGCGAGAACGTAAGGATCCGACGACCGAGAATTGAGATCCGACGCAGGAAGATTCTCGGCTCGGTGGAGTGTAAATCGCACAGTATAACCATCCCGGGCAGAAGGAATTGGCGTGGCATCAAAACCACCAGGAGGATTATTCTTGTCTTTCAACTTTTGTTGTTTGGAGGTAAGCTTTTCCTTGGCTTCCTTCAATTTGCCTGTGTTTTGCTTCTCCGCATCGCCATTTTGTTGTGAACCATTTTGCGCTGTATGGTTTGCGCCATTCGACAAATCGCCGAGTGCTTGGCGTTCGACCATTTCCGACATGCTTATGTGTTTTGCCAGAAGAACCGAGGTTGTTCTTTGTACCTGGGTATACAATGCACGATTTTGCCACAACAGAAAAGTGTTGTTGTCGTCGTTGGTTGTGAGAATGAGCTGACAGCCAAGCTTTATATGGTTGTAGAGTGCGGGAGGGAGGAAGGAGGGGAATAGAAAGATGGATGATATCTTAATTGTTCTCTCAAGCTGGCCAATTGGATAGAAGGAAAAGGCAAAAGTCGTATTGGTACTCAACAACTTATCGAAGCGCAAGAAAATGATTTGAACTACCTAGACCATTTAATTGGGGTTAATTTCGTGAATATGGGTGAATTGATCAACGCACGGGGATGTGTATTATTCTTAGGACTCGAATGATTCGTGTCGAAATTAGTTGATCAAGCTTTGCCAAGATGACAAGGTGAAGGACGGGTATTAGGAAAAGGGCTGAAAGAAACATATACCGGTACTGTTCTCGAGTAGAATCAGTAGATGGAGGTTTGAGAGGTCTTCTTGTACTTGTACGCATCAAGACTCAAGAGAGAAAGATTGAAAGAAGATCAACTCGACTCCATCAATTACCGATATCATCCTTCAACCATTAGATAAGAATTGCGAGATCTTTTTCCATTTATAATTTTAAGCTTATCTTCATCGAGTCTTCTCAGCATCAGATGTGGAAACTTATATCCAAGTTTCCAAGAATTTAAGCATTGGAGTGCAGCAGGCACCTAGTCGATTGGAGAAGAATTGAGCCGTGAAGCCGTTTGGTTGTACTGTAATTGTAAACCCTTGACTTGATACGTAGTAGGTTCATGTAGTGTAGTAGAAACAGCAAACATGGGGTTAACTGCCGACTATTAAAAGTATTTGCAATACTGTGCCTAGGTAATGTCAAAACTCATTAAAGCGAATCCAATCAAATGAAGGAGTAAAATGGGATTTTCGGTTGTTTGTTCGTTTGCTGTTTAGAGGGGGCGGTGAACCGAAATGAAATAAAAATACATTCGAGGTTCTGGATTTCCCAAAGTATTTGATTTTTCAATCCCATTTGTTTGTAACCTTTTCAATGAAAGTCGTGAATCATTGAACATTCCGGTCCGGGTATACCACATGATCAGCTGAGCTTCTTGTTGGAAATGTACTCCGTACTGAATGGCTCCAATGTGAATACGCTGGATTGACAGGTGGGAAATTCGACCACTGTATCAATACCTAGGACATTACTTGGATTGATAAAACAAGAATCGGTGGAAGATTCTGTTACATACTTGCATAATGCATGATCTTGGTCCCTTCTTTTGAGTGTATTGGCACTATGAATTCTGACGGGGAAGACCAGTTGATGCGAAGTCGTATATAAACAGTTGATCGGAGCTCCATCGCCTCAGTAGTACTGGGGCAATAATGGGTGTTTATATAGTACAGTGTATTATATAAAATTTCTTACGTTGTTGACATTATCGTCCGGGGTAGAAGTCTAAGAGGCTACTTGGGCATAGATGTGCACTAGCACTCGCTAGGCACAAGGTCCAGTAGGATTATCGTGTCATCGAGGCCCAAATCTTCCAACCATGGCCAGCTCAATCGATTATTCCATCAGGCCGGCGATTGTCGACCACTTCATACTCTAATTGTATATGGGCCCCGCAAACCGCAACCATTTCAGAGCTATATATATCTCGCGACACTAGAATGAGGCTCTCAAGTGCCCTCTTAGTTTTGGATTCGAACTTAAAATCAAACTACTTACCAGGTTCTGGACTCGAACTATGAAATTTAGTCTACCTACCGGTACTTATAAACTTACATCAATATGTCACTGATCTACGAGTATATGATGATACCCCCATCTCCCATCCCCCGCACACCTACACACCTACACATCAAAACAATCAATTCAAACTCTTGCTCCCCACATTCACTATCAATACTTCATGCATACAAAGCATTGATATACTTGAATTTGTATAACACCTCCAGTCTCAACATGTCAATGACATCATTTCTTAGAAAGCTGCGTTCCCGCACCTGGGAATCAGACAGTACGCGCCGACTAAGCAAAGAAGATGAAATGTTACCAGTGTACCACTCCGAATCCGATTTCGTCTATCTCAGACTCCTATTATATACGACCACGAGAGAAATCAAACACAGCAGTATTCCGAAAGACAGCTGGAGTTACGACGACCAACGAGTATGGTTATTCAAAACATTAGTCGAAGTGTGCGGTCGACCCGATTACAATGCTTACGATATCGCCACGCGGTGGGAGAATATCTCTCAGGATCTATACGAACTCAAGAAAAGGGATTGGCAGAATTTATTAGTAAGCTACAAAGATGGTGGGACGATTCACCGGATTTTGCGCAAGATGGAGAAGAAGGCGAGCGAATATGGTCCCGATGCAGATGATATGACTATATATATGACCCGAGCAGAAATATGGGCGGCAAATATACGAAAAAGATGGCGTGGAAGGAGTTTTAGCGTATGGTAATGGATTTTGGATATGGAAATGAAAGGAAGACTATTACGATTTCAGACGGGACTTGGGGCAGAGCCTGTTACTATATGGGTGCGAGTGCTTGGATGTTCGACGAGTGCATTGCCGGGAACGCAAGTACCGCCAGTGTGCCAGAAGATGAAGACAAGCATAAATCGTCTTCTGAGTTAGCTTGCTGCATTCTCGTATTTCAGATATGGTGTCAGAAGCGAACAGAGCGATGTTTTGAATTGTCCGAGTCCGGATCCCGATTTAAAAGTTCGTTGCATGGACATTGATGGTGTGTTTATGGATGGTCATATTTCCATACCATCGGATCGAACAAAATTTACAGACCTACTACCAATGTGGGAGATTTGTTAATTCATTTCACACTGTTGTTTCAAGGAAAAACGGGGATTACATGATTCTTGTCTGTTATTATAGGGAGGGGACGAGGGGATATCTGAAAGATAATAGGGGACTGAAAGCTCTCGTCTGATATTCTGGGAACGGGTAATATATTTGTTACAGTACAGTGGTAACTGGGTTTAAAATGGATCACGTCTGATTTTTCAAGGAGATAAAGAGATACATGTAAAGAGACAGTAGAGATGAAGATATTATAATTTCTAATATAGAAAGGTAGCATATACACAATCTATATCTTCCATGTAAATCCCAACATTTTTCTGGATACATAAATACAAGAGATACATACATATATACATACATGGCGACTCGAGAGCCGAGGTGCAAGAAGGAAGACTACAATGGAAACACTGTCCTAAAAACCATAGGGAAGGGGTTTTACATTGCTTTTTTTTCATTGTTTAGGAACGATCAATTACCAAAACAGCGGTATATGATTATCGAATTTCGTCAATGGTAAGATCTTACCTTGGTTACTACTGCCATACTGTCAGCAAGTACTCGTATGGAGTTGGAAACAATACTTATCACCAAACTCAAACTTCAGTTGGTTATGAGTACCGGTATCCCAAGATCATAATTGAGCGAGGGCTTCTCGAAGGTCTAGTAAGGCGAAGTCTATAAAGATGAGCGTATGCTTCGTGATCAAGAGGTGTGATCGTTTCTTGTCATGTAGAAAATGAACTTGGTCGTCGATCTTCTATCCGTTCATAACTATAGGGTTTCATACTTCATACGAGAAGGAAACAGCAGGAAATTGTAGGCTTTATGCAGCAAGAATTTGGGCTCTGCTCGTAGTTCAAGTACAGTATCTCATTGTGGCTATGGAGATGATCACAGCACTTGTTGAAATACAACAATGCCAGCGTTCGAGGAGAAATCTGATTTCTGTTACGCAGCATGTGCGAAGCATTCCCAATGAGTCTTGCTACGATGTACTTTGAAGCTACATTGACCAAGTTTCATAGTATTTTCAAGCTATCCTGTATTTATAGATATCTCTTGATTCTCACCTCACGCAGACGTGCTTTTTCTTTGCTGCATTTCTCATCACTATCTTCTACATCTATATCTAAACTACTTCTAAAGCATACCTCACCTTACGATACCATAGTTGGCCTCCGCCAGAACGGAGATGTATTTTAATTTTATTTTTGTTTACTCAATGTGCTTATGCAACTCCAATATTAAAATGGAAGTGATGCATCTCATTCCGATTCCACCCTGCTTTTCTCTACCCCGACTTCATTTGGTGCAGAGCTTTTGTCGATTCTTGCAAGCGCTGACAGTTTTTTAATCGACTCGAGCGAAACAACATATAAATACTACCTTCGTCACGCCTTACTCCTTTGCCCGGAAGCACTTTAAACAGTGGTTTTGCGCCTAGACTATGTGGTTCAAAGGGGAAAACGGAGGGTCTGCTGGTTCTTCTTAGCGAATTATTCAACACTTAAAGCTGTATCGAGAAGGATCTGGCCAAAATAACGGACATCATTAATGCTGATAAGATCGACGGCATTGAGAGAGTTTTGGACGACTGGACATCTGAGAATGATGACCTCGCGCGTATAGATGATGAGAGGAATAACTCGAAAAGGAAAACCAACTCGGATTCTCCAAGAGATGTTTCATCAAGTCCTCACCAAACATCAAAACTCCACTCTCAAATTCCCTCATCCTCACATATCGACTCCAACAGGACGAACACAACCCCCAGCTTATCCATCCCACCACAATCGTTCCTTTGCCCATGAGATATACTACCACAACTCCCACCAAGAAGATTTCAACCTAAACACCTCCGGCGCTAAACCAAGAGCTACATGTAAATTGTAACGGCCTAACAATCGATTATCCACCTAATTTCTACCTCCACGCATCCAATCTCCTAAGTCATACTAATGATATATGTACCTATTGGACTCCGCCACGAAAGACAGTTATTAGTATATTCCCTTTCTATTCAGGCTGTATATAGTATACTCAACACAGTAGAAAATTCCGTACGAGTATAATCCATATTAGAAGTTTGTGAATAAGAAAATTTGTATATTTGTGTATACCAGATATTGATCCCCCCTATTATCCTTCGCTTACATACGAGTAAAGGGGTTTCTTAATCTAACTCATATGCTCACTATTTGACCAACGATAACTCCCTAGACACAAAGGTATGGAGACGAGAGAAGTAAGTGGTGGAGAAACCGTTTGACAGATCCAGATGCTGAGATGCATGTGGAGTAGTGAGGTATGAAATGTGGAAGATGATGAGATGCTATCAAAGGATGAGAAATAATCTAGACAGTGATGATTGTAAATTGGGAGCGTTAACTGACTTTTCAAGACAAGATGTGTCTATTTATGATTGTATCTCACTTTCCTCTAGTGATGTATGTATGTATGTATGTATATACGAGCCCGCATCAAATCCTAAACTCCGCCTCCTAATCCATTTTGGTGGGGATATCTAAACGCCGTTCCCATTGTACCAAACCAAACCAAGCTATGTACAGCCCATCTGTGCCACACCATTTTGTACAAAAGTCATTATACCGCCTAGTAAGGGGAGATCCGTCGTATCCTTACATCTATACCATGAATCCATACATTCATAAATCCGTCTAATCACGAACTCAAGCAACATTTCCCGCCATACCCATAAATATTGCCTGAATTGCCATGGAAATCGACCAGAATCCCACCTTTTTCAACCGACGCATACGTGCCTGACCATCTACCACATCTTTAGCAAATGCTTCATAAGTCTCTGCGGATAGATCATCCATTAATCCGCTGTCGAAAATGGTCCAGCTACCATCGAAGTCGCTAGAACGTTTCACGATTCGACAATTTATGGGAATAAATGTTTTCTTTGCATTGATATAGGCAACAATGGGGCGAATGAGGGCTTGATTGATGTAGGAAAGGTCGCGCGTGAAGAGGGGCACGGCAGCCTTGACATCATTGAGGTGGATGCGGAGATCCATGACGATGTAGCGTTTTTTGTCATCGTGGGAGAGTTTCTGGGCCAATGAAGAGCGCTCAGCGGGTGTGTCTAGTTCCTCGGTTCGTGGAATATTATCAAGGAGATGGAGATAACGATTAGAAGTTACAGCTTCTTCCATGCGGTCGTAAAAATCGGATACAACCTTGGCGATACTGTCGTCTGCTTCAGCTGGAAGCATGACATCGGCAACGATGTCAACATTCCCTTCGTGAATCCAACCAAACGGCCCTTCCACGCCTCGGTTTAGATGATCAATTTTGAGACCGTCTATGCGGAGGCGACTTTGCTTTTTCCAAGGGCTCGACCCGCCATTTTCAGAAGAGCCGAGAGCGCGTGAGCCAGCGAACCCGTGTATCTGTCGAGGGTGGATTGTGAAAAGAGATCCGTCAAAAGCCCCAGACATATTGCTTGCCGAAAGGAAATCGTAAAACAACCACTGTTTCCGCAGCTGAGGAAGATCGCACGAGAAAATGCTGACAGAAAAGGGTCGGAAACCGTTGGGTTGATGTACAGTAACTAAGAGATCCTCCAATTTAAAAGAGTCAATTTCGAAATCACCAGGGTTGTGCTCGTGTCGGAATGATTTTGGATCAACATATTCGTCGCCCCAATGTACTGAAGTTCTATCAATTACACCCCGAACGCCCTTGACCTCTACATCCCTAAGAAGCCCTTTGCCGTTCCACCATTTGACAAATGATAGAGTGACATTGACTGTATTAAGAGTGACATCAAATTGGGTGTAGTTTGTATCCTCTTCCTCTTCTTTTTTGCCTTCTATCTCTACTTGCCGTTGGGAGGCAGCAGCAGCTGCCGCATTCAGAGACGATCCCTTGCTAACTTTAGTCTTTCCTTGTCCTGGTCTCCTCGAGACAAACACATTCCGAAATGTGATTACCCCATCCTTCCAACGCGGCACGATAGCAGATTCGAAAACGACCTTAATACCTGCCGAATGTGTGAGGTAATCACCGACCCATCTCGCCAGTGTTTCTAATTCCCAGTCAGCTTAAGGCATACATCGTATTTGCTTTATAATTCTTACCTTGTGCGACAACAGTATTTATAGACAGGATGATAAGAGAAAAGAAAGTTGTAGTTCCAACAAAAACCCAGGCAATGTTACCTAGGACAAACCATGAAACAAAAGCACTCCAATCATCTACATTCCATGGTCGCCCGCCTCTAATTGTAAACCACTTAAAACGGACTTTCAGCCGAGACCAAAATCCGGTCGCTGCAGCGAGTAATTCGTCTCTCGTCGGCCTATGCCGCATCTTTGACATGTGAGGAAGATGGTACTTGCTCGAGGAAGAGTGTGGGACATTGATATCTTTAACCGGTTCCTTTGATGGCGGGGTAGTTTGCGAGGGTTTGTGGGTCTCTTGAGGCATCCTCCGACTATTTTGTAAATTTGATGAAGAACTTTTATTCCTTCTCGCATAACCCCGCTCCCTTCGCCGACTGCTTGAATGTATCTCACGCCGCCATTCACTTTGAAAGTAAGACGTCAAGGGTCGTCGTGGCGAGGTTGATGTTGAGTATAAAGTCTTCTCCGCTGTGGTCGTACATGATGCTATCGAGGGAGCTGCAGAGGTACCTGAGCTCAAATCAAGAAAGAAGACCCCGCCGTAAGCAAACCTTTTTCGGATTTGAGTCTTTGGAGGCGAACCGTGAAAAGCTCTGAATCTGGTATGTGAAAAGGCACGACGAGCAGTATTAAAAATAATTGAATTTGATATAAAAGGCCGTATAGGTTCTTTGCATCTCTTCGTCGCAGCAGATGAGCTTGCATGATCCCATAATTGGGACCATAACCTGGTTCTTATGTTCATTGACATTACCTCCGGCTCATCCTGAGAGTTTGCAAGACTGTGAAGTCGTGAATTACCTCAAATACCTTAGAATGAAAATGAAAATGAAAATCAAGGGCACGCGAGAGAAAGAATGAAATGACGATGGACTTTTCCGGATGCGCCTTCATGGAATTTTTGGCACTAAAGAAGACGCTAGTGATCTTATCAGTAAATTCTATCGCTCTCCCCACCAAAATAATTTTTCGAATTTAATCGGCCGATACTACGAACATCAAATTCGACATTCAGAGAAAACGTCGGAAAATAGTCAACCACACGACAAGCATTACTTTGAAGATATTAATTCAATTCCACCTTATACAAATTTGCGCTATATAAAATGCCTGCACCAACAGCTTTGTTGAGAAGGCCGGAAGAGCTTGCTGAAGCTATCAATGTGCCACTTCCAAATCAAAGTATATACATCCGTCACGCTGTGTATTGTGGAAAAGGTAGCTAATTTGGAGTCAGACCAAGACGATGAGTTTCTATTAGATGCACCAGAAGTTACCCTCGCGGAATTGGACACCATCTTGCCTCAAGCCGGCGACGATAGCGAGATGCACATTGATGAAGAAGGACGACCTCGATTTGCACCAGCCAAGAATATTGTACGACTCCCAATCTATGCTACTCCCAAAACATACGCATGCGATTCTAACAAATCAACAGGACCTAGCAACTCGAGCAGAAACCCGCAAAGTGCCCATTCCTCCGCACCGCATGACCCCCCTCAAGGCCTCCTGGCCCAAGATCTACCCTCCCCTTGTCGAGCACCTCAAACTTCAAGTTCGCATGAACATCAAAAACAAAGCAGTAGAACTCCGTACCTCTAAACATACTACCGATACCGGATCCCTGCAGAAGGGTGAAGATTTCGTAAAGGCCTTCTCGCTAGGATTTGACGTTGATGACGCTATCGCATTATTACGACTTGACGATCTTTATATCCAGACCTTTGAAATCAAGGATGTGAAAACCTTACAAGGCGAGCACTTGGGAAGAGCCATTGGTCGTATCGCAGGCAAGGATGGAAAAACCAAGTTCGCAATTGAGAATGCGAGTCGCACAAGAGTGGTTCTTGCAGACAGCAAAATCCATATTTTGGGAGGCTTCAAGAATATCCACATTGCAAGATCAGCAATCGTCAGTCTGATTTTGGGAAGTCCACCTGGAAAGGTTTACGGTAACTTGAGAACCGTGGCGAGTAGAATGAAAGAAAGATTTTAGGGCTGCATCGGCTAGACTTACGACATGGAAATGCATTTGCTAGGCGTTGTGGTGGTGTTCGGGGGAGGGATGTACTGGGAAAAGCTTCATTTTGGCATCAATGAATGCATTATATGTTTCCAACTAAGGTCATGTGAACCAGGAGAGGATTTTAACTTTCACGAAATTTCAGAGCTTAATTGGATCCTCTAACATTCGTACTGTACAACCTCATTTAAGCGAGCATGGGAGTAGCAAGATACTATTACTCGAGTACTCGAGTAATGTCGATGTTCCTACTATTCTATATATTTGAATGTCTAACAAAAGTCTATCCTAAAAAGGATGAGCAATTGTAATCACCAGAATCTTCTCAATGCGCCCCAAACCTCTCACTTTGGCTGAGCTAGTTTAAAAATAGTACTTCATGCTTTCACGATACCTGCCATGTTTTTGTGGACCGTAGTCGCCTTACTTGTTAATGGGTTCTATGCAGGATCCCATGCAGGGATTCCGATTCCATAGTATTACATCAAGCATCATACCGATAATCAATTCTTGGTAATTCTCAAAAGTCGTCCTATATTCTATGTCCTATAACAGACATTTCAATCGAGGCTGTAGTGGAAGAAGTAAGGTAAAGCAAAGAAAGAGGAAAGTAACAAAAACAAATGATATGTATATAGTACTTAATACGAGTTGACGAGTAGGTGATATAAGGTTAACCTTGGGAAGAGGAAATATTAACAACCACTTGAACATTTGATTTGTCTCGTGTTGCATAAAGAAAGCATCAGATTTCCCCGAGATATATTAAAGGAGGTCTCGAGTCGGTTCATTAAGAGGTAACATAAGAGTACCGCTTCCGAAAAGCCCGCTGCCCGGACCAGAAAAAACATGCCCCTGTTGAAAGCGTCTTCTTGTGGTTTGATTCACTCGTATTTCGTTTCTGTATCATGATCTTTGCCATACCTTATCTATCGTGTACCAATATCGACTTATTACGCAGTAGCCAATGACTAAAGAATTTTAATAAGGCTCTTCGTCCCAAGCTTATCAACAATCAGGCACTTCCAGGACCTTTATTTATTAACACATAAGCCTCGATTCGCCAACACGACGCGCCGCCGTGACTCGTAGTGTTTGGATGTCCCGGCTCAGGGCCTCTTGTATACACAGCAGACGGAGTGGCGAAAGGTGACTGGTATGCAGGCAGCCAGGCTTAAGGCTGAATCGCAGGGCCGGAAAGCTAAGGTAGGCATTCATGGGGTGTTCAGTTGGCGCAAGGAGGAAGTCATCTCTGGAAATGGACGTGAGGGGCTAATATATTCGAATCACAGCTTGCCAATTCATATCATGAGTTATTGGAGTACGTATTTACTTGGGAATAGCGAATTGAACAATGCTGACAACGACCCTTGTGTAGAGAGTTCTCGTCGAAAGAGCTTCGTTCAGTAGGCAACTATACTTTGGGAAGGTTGATTGGGAAGGGGTCCTTTGGGAAAGTCTACTTGGCTTCGCACAAACTTCTACATAGCTCCAAAGTATGTGCCAAAGATGGGAATAGGTTTCGCAGGATATCAGCTAATATGGCGGTCTGCTGTAGGTCGTACTTAAGTCTGCCAAGAAGGACGATTCAAATTTGGCCCGTGAGATACATCATCACCGACAATTCCTACATCCTCACATCGCTCGCTTATACGAAGTAATCGTCACCGAAAACCTGGTATGGCTTGTGCTGGAATATTGCCCTGGTAAGTCGCATGTATAGGCAGAACGAGGCTGGACTAATGATGGTGCAGGCGACGAATTATACAACTATCTTCTCAAGCATGGGCCGTTACCGGTGGAAAAGGTTCAAAAGATATTCACTCAATTGGTTGGTGCCGTTGCATACGTTCACAACTCATCCTGCGTTCACCGAGACTTAAAACTTGAGAACATCCTTCTAGACAAACACGAGAATGTAAAGCTTGTGGATTTTGGGTTCACTCGCGAGTATGAGGGTAAGGCGAGCTATCTGCAAACTTTCTGTGGCACAATATGTTATAGCGCTCCAGAAATGCTGAAGGGAGAAAAGTATGCTGGTGAAAAGGTTGATGTTTGGAGTTTAGGCGTCATTCTATACGCTTTGCTATGCGGCGAGCTACCATTCGACGACGACGATGATAATATTACAAGGACCAAGATATTGACCGCGGAGCCGAAATGGCCGGATCACCTTACAACCGACGCAAGAACCTTGTTGAGCATTCTATTGTCGAAGAGACCTTTAATACGACCTGCCTTGTCCGATATTCTCACTCATCCCTTTCTTGCCGAGCATGCGCCACAACAGCAAGTCATTTTAAAGTTACAGAGAGCGGCACCGTTCACAACGACATTAGAAAAAGAGACCTTGGAACGTATGCGAAGTGCTGGCGTAGATATTGACCAGGTCATTGAAAATGTACTAGCTCAGCGATGTGATGCTCTAGCAGGTTGGTGGGCTCTTCTGCTCGAAAAGGAAGACAGAAAGCAAGTACGGAAAGAACGAAAACGTAAGGAACGAGAGGCGGAGAACCGATCCTCAAGACGACTGAGTGCTGCGAGTAGCCGTTTGGAGAAAATGATGCCCATTTTAACAGGAGTCGACGAAGAAGGGCAGCCGCTAAAGATTAGTGATCCACCTAGGAGTAGAGGAAGGAAAGAAAGGCGAAGCGCCCATTATCCGGATCTTATCCTTACCGATTTACCTGGATTACCTGAACACTCACAGTTCTCCTCACCTGATGTTCACACACCTCCACCGCCACTTGAAAAAGACTCAATTCGCTCGGCAAGCTCATCTCGGCATCGCCGCCCTGTCCCTCCTCCAAAAGAAGGCACTCTTCGAAGTGCCCGGTCACGAGGAAGCACATTACAGCTCGTTACTTCTAATCATGATTTTCTACACCCTAGTTCTAATGGCATTGTCAAACCACCCCCACGTCGCAAGCACCAGCATGCTATTATCAACCAATTAGCTCATTGGAAGCATTGGCTTCTGGACTCTGCCAGACGTGCTAGGTCACCAGGAAAGAAAACAAAAGCTAGTCGCTCAACACCAGATCTCCGCGAGAAGGCTGCTGACGGCTCAAGCAGTCCGAAAGAACCTAGTCCCCGACCAGTCACTTCGAAGTCACCCACGATGACACGTGCTCACGTACCACAACTAGGCGGTCAGCCTCCTGTGTCAAGAACGTATACAACGTCAAGCACCAAGCGGCATTCATTATCGCCATCACCCGTCACCCCTCGTTCAACTTTCCAGCGTCGACCAAGTAGTGGCTTGCGAGGCCGAAAATCTACATCATCTTCTGTTTCTTCTGTACGTAGCATAATGCACCAACATACACATTCAAAAGCTTCGTCAACTTCGTCAAACGGATCTGGCTCAAAGATACCGCTTCCCACTCGCAGCCCTCACCACTCCGTCAAAGTCCTTCCCGCCACTCCTACCCTTAACTCATTCCCTTCAAACATTCGCGTTGTTCGACAAACTCCACTTTCAAGTTTCAACGAAGGTATCTCGTGGGGTGGTAGCAATAGTACGTTTGGTGCCCCACTCGTATTTGCGAAACGAAAAAAGAATCTCTTTAAAGGACCCTCGCTTAATACTACCTCGCCCATCGCATCGGGAAACGGACACGGACACACCCGAACAGGCTCGCATAGCAGAAGCGCCAGTATAGCAGGCAGAAGAAGCGGCGAAATCATCGAGGAAGAAGATGAGGATATCGAAGAAGTCGACGTCTTTACCCCCGTAATTGGTCCAGGTGAAACGGAAGAAATGGTCTTTCCCCCAACTGATATCTTGAGACTTGATGATACGATTGAGGAGTCGGATAGAGAGAAGACACCTACTAATGGGGCTGCATAGAAGCCGGAGAGCGAGATTGTTTTTGATCTAGGGGTTCAGGGGTCTATAGTCTTTTGGGGGATGGGATTGGTTGGAGCGTGGTCTGATGTAATACGTTGCGCATGTACAGATAGCGCACATATTCTCTTGTACAAATTGTTTTCTAACTTAGCTTCTCTCTCGCACATCGCAGGTGGACAAGAGCATCGGCGAATATGGATGGGTGGATGGATGGATGGATTGGTTGACATATTACATAGAAGCGTCTCATTCTATTTTTCAGTACTCTTTTTGTTTTCTCTTCCTTCTTCTCTTAGACTAGTCATATATATTTTATTACCGTTTTTGTCTTCCTTCTTGTCTTTCTTCTTGTCATTACTTGAACTCCACCACCCCCCCCCATTTTATTTCTTTTGTCTTTTTCTCTTTTTCTCTTATCTCCTTTTTTCTTTTTCTTTTTAAATAGAGTATAGTATAAGCAGGCTTTCGATACCAAAATTCATGTATAGCAGAGAGGAGTCGTAGAGGAGTCAAACTGAGTAGCGAGATAGATGGATGCATAGGGAGGGAAGTTAGAGGAGAGAGAGAGGAGAAGGTAGAAAGAAGGGGGATAGATGCATAGGGAGGGAAGTGAGAGGAGAGAGTAGGAAAGTGGGAGGGGCGAGGGCAAGAAATGAAAAAATTAATTCTTTAATTCTTTATTTTCTCGTGTATATATATGTATGTGTGTATGTGTATGTATGTATATACTGAGTACACTGTACAAAAAGTAAGAAGCGAATATGATATATGGAATTGTATTATAATATACTTGAGATTCTTACAAGATAAATCTTGGGCTTGGGTTACACGAAATATATAATCGAGTATATATCGTATATATCTGATTTTCCTCAGGGGAAAGTTTAGTCTTTAAATTTAAATAATGTTTTTACTTTACTCTAGTATTTCAAGCCTTTTCATTCAAGGTCCGACTCGTATATTAATATCTTTGGGTTTTGTAACTTTGAACTTTGATTGATGATTGATAATTGATGATCAATTTGGTGATGTGATGTGTCTGTCTGTCTGGTTGCTTGAGTAGGTAGGTTGCAGGATCTGATTTGGTAGTATGGTATGGTGTATTATACATACACAGACGCTAACACGATAATTGTATTATATGTAGAATGTTTATTTTAAGTTTTTTGGGGAGGCATAATTGCCTACTAAGTAGCCTATTTATGTAGTGACAGAGGGATAGCTTAAGTCAGCAATGGAAATGCAGGACTTGATTTTACATTCAAGAAACGCCAAACACCATAGGTAATCTCTGTGTTACTGGTATTTGACCCCAAATTCCCAGCCCAGCCCAGCCCAGCCCAGCCACGCTAATATTGAAAGCCCAGAAGTATGTCCCAAACGCCTTATTATTCCGTTCTTCCTATCTATCTTTGGTGCCTCTGTAAACGGTTGTTCCTGCTAGATACGGGTACGACACGTGGTGGCGGGGAATTTCGAGGGGTTCTTGCTCTGTCGAAGACATGCGGTACAACAATGCGATGGTGATTATTTCTAGCGTCATTATTGCCTAGTGACGGGACTTGATATTGGTATTGAGCTCGACGACGACCCCTAGAAGCCGGCTCCACTCGAATAGTGTTATGTATCTCATCTTCCCATCCATCTAAACCTGGCAGATTTTGAGTGTTTCTAACAGAATTTTGATGCTCTGCCAACAGCCTACTTATTCTTGGATCGTACTGTTGAACAAAGAGATTTTGTCTCGGTTGTCGGCGTGGAGGAGGGCGTATTGAGGTGTCTGATGAATCATCATCAACCTCGGCCATTTCGTTAGCATCACCAAGATATGCGCTATAGTAGCTGTCCACACTAAGACTCCGAGTGTATCGCGATGAAACTGGCGACACACTCATTTCAGTGTCACCATCTCGATCCATATTGGGTTGGACTGATTGATCCCCATCAGTGTCATAGTCAGAAGTATCGTTCTCGCTACCGTAATTGTTCGATGCGTCATCTCCACCTCTAGCGTAATTGATTGGTGTAACATCTCCATCCATGCCTAAATGAGTAGCATCGGGGAACCGTTGTAAATCGGCGCTGCTATAACGTGGTGTCTCTGAGAACTCTGCCCGAGGTCGATTGTCATCATCTTCAATATCCGAATTTGGGTTACCAATCGTCTCCGAATCGCTCTCATCCGTAGCACTTTCATCTTCAGTTGTAGTCCAACCATCCCAATGATCATGAGCGACACGATTAGTATCATCATCCTCTCCTTCATCTAAAGGACTCCAACCACCTGATGCTCTCAATCTCATGCGCGCCTCTTGAATATCATCGTCACCAAACTCCGAACCATTTGCACTGCTACCATTTTCATCCTCTGAGATTGAGTTTGGGATGGCCATAGAGTCAGTTTCGGAGGGGCGGGTCCAAGGTCGCGGTTGGCGACGATTCGTGATGGCACCACCTTCATCCTCAGACTCATCTTCATCATCCGATATTATGGTAACAACTCTTTGATTTAACCGACGTGTTGGGGCAACAGGTTCGCTGTCATCGTCATCTGGTGCAACAAAATCTGCAAGTGAGCCAGCATCTTCATCTTCACTATTGTCCTGATTGCTGGTGTCAGAGTCCGTGGGATCTTCTGAGTCGTCGGTCGTATCATCAATATCGAAGCCATGATGATGGGCGTGGTAATGATGAAGAAAATGGTGAGATGGACCACCAATGAAGGGACCCCCCTCATAATAGTGGTGGGGATTATGGCGGCGGTGGACAATATTGGCGAGACCGTTAACTCCTATCTGTATCTCGGCTTCAATCTCCTGCTCTAAATCTTGATCATATCCAACGTCAATATCCGAAAGTGAGGCATCATCGTCCATATCACTGAAGCCATAGATGCCGTCAAACTCAGCACCACAGTTATCGCACATTGGACCGCCTTCATGTTCATGACCGCAAGAAGGACATCGCATGACCCCATCCGCTTCATCGCGCCACAATTCTCCATGACGTAGTGGAAATGAGCCTCTGAACAATCCTTCTGGGCCCTTCTTATCTTGTTCTACCATCCGCGTTTCTTCGGCATTCTTTAGGTTGTGTTGTTCTACCGTCTCATCGTGTGGCATTAATTGGCCTCTGTTGATAAATATCTCGACCATGTGTTTAACCTGTCGAATAATCAGTATGTATAATTTTTGTGTATGATCTTCCCAGGACTTCTTACCAGGAAGGCTGGCGCTGGTATCTGCTTCACTGCAGTACGGCATTCTGGGCATGTCTTTTTTCTCTTATTCGGAATGAACCATTGGCACAAACACTATATTCACATCAGCCCTATCCAACTATCCAGGATTTCCAAAGTATACTGACAGAGTAGCAGTATGTATGGCCACATTGTAAGGTCCATGGTTCGTAAAGTAACTGGTCGCATATCGAGCACGTCAAGGATCCTCTCATGCCAATTAAGTCTTCTTTGTATTTCGTAGCAAGCTGAGAAAAACATTAGCGTGTGCTACAAAAAGGGCACTTTTCCAACGAACCTGTGCGTCACTCTGAATCGGCTCTTCATCTTCGACTTCTATGACAGTTTCGGCTTTCATGACCACGGGTGTAGCCTCATTACTTCTGGCAATACATTCAGGTATGCGAGAGCCATGATTTGACGTAGCTGTAGATAAGCGGACGGAGGAAGAGGAATTCATGGTGATTATCGGTATGGGCGGTATGCTGCGGAACAGACTGGGGGGTCGCGTTTGATGGGTGAAGGAGATAGAAGGTTAAGCCAGCAGTGAAATAAGTTTAGTTTATCCTTTGAATTTTTGATAAAGACACCTTATCACCAAAAGCGCTCGAGAGTGCCTTCTGGATGTGGCCGTGGGTGGTAATGGAAATTCAATGTCGGGTTGTCGAAGTAAATGATGTTCACACCAAATCGTGTGCCGCATAGCCTTACCCTTAGCCTTACCCTAAGCCTTCTCGATGAATGAGGTAATCAGTCACGTGTAATAGGCCAAAAAGATTCTATTTCGTATGATTCAAAATTCAATGTTTTATTAGTTAAATTAAAAATAAACTAAACTCTATTTCTACTATCAGATATCTACTTGAGTTGATAAGAATCTAGATTTATTAGTTAAGTTAAAAATAAACTAAATTCTATTTCTACTATTAGACATCTACTCGACTAGATAAGAATCTAGATAATTCTTAGACTATCGACTACTAGCTCTCTCTTATCAACTATTATATTCGATAGACGCAAACGTATTAAGGCGATCGATAGAAGTTATGTAAATAATCTAGAATAGTACAAGTACTATGCCTTTCTATACACTATATACTCGTAATAGAACTCTATATATCTACTCGAATAGAACTAGAACCAGAACAGTAACATATGTATATATATATCTCTCTACTCAACTCAAACAACCTGCTCTGCAATATTAACTATGTAGTACAACCAACCCTCCGATACCACCCTTCTAGAGTAGATATAATCCGTCCTCGATTCTCGAATTCTCCATCCTCCATACTCCATCCTATATCAGCCATACCAGCCCCCCCCCATTTATTTCCCCGCACATATAAACAGTAATCATGCCGCCAGAATGCCCGAGTTGACTTCCCGCATACATACATTTAAAAAAAAAGCCTAATCGATAATCTAAACCTTAAAAGAGGCCACTATTCAACCAATAATATCCATAAATATTATAGATTCCATTTTTATCAATATCAGAAATGACGATTTGGCTATTCTAAAATTCCTCAAGTGAAAAAAAAGGGAAGCAAATCTTTTTTGTATGAGGTATTTGATATTAGTTCTATTAGTAGTCCACTTAATCTCCCGAGTTGTGGACTTTCTGGCGGCATTGAGAATGAGTACCGGTATACAAAACATCAAAGTTCCAACCTGAATTATATTATGGGCCCAATATCGATATCACATTAGTCCTCCAGTCACAGAGCAATATCACGAATTTACGTGGCACCCACCTAACCAACGAACAAGCCAGTCAGCCCGCCGGCCTAATAATATGCTTGTTCCGAAATCTCCCCCCACCACTAATTGCCAATTCGCTTCTTGCCAAAGTTTAACTCTATGTGAGTATATTCACTAGATAAACACCTGTATACCACAAATGCACAAAGTGCAAATTTCAAACGGATAAAAAGAGTTCATGTAAAAGTTCAGGTATGCTATTGTATGTACTATGAACGAGCAAAGTTCAAAATAGTAAGCTAAAGATTGCCGAGCCAGGCAACAGATTGAAAAGACATGCAATCCAATCCGAGAATCTGCAGCAACCAAGCCATCTTCAAACCAAAGAGGGAATTCTTCCATTTCCATAAGGTTGGGCGCTCAATAGGGAATACAAACAAAAGAAATTCGTGTCAAGAGTCATTAATAATCTAGCATTTCATCTGCTCCATGAACTCATTCGATTGCGGTTCTGGCCTTCTTACTGGACCTCGCAGCACCCGCGCAGAGGACTTCTAGCTCTCCCATCTTGACAAGAGATTCATCGATGATTTCTTTGTTGAGGTGCGTCAGTTGGTTGATTTCGAAGTCGAGGAAGGACGTGATGGCTTTGGCCGTGGTGGCACCAGCTTTCATGGAATCGCGCAGTTCCTTGAGCATGCTTCTGATGCGAGCCTCGGCGTTCTCCAATTGATATTCGACCGTTTGTCCATATAGATTGGAGAGATTCGAGACTGGTCGGACAGTGGTGAGAACGGTGTCGTCACGGATATGTGGGGATCGTGGACGGAAGGAGGTGACCATAGTAATTCTCTCCTGTCCACCAAAAGCCCGCAAAGCCTGATGATCGATGTATCGACCTTGCAAAACCACAGCACATCCCTAGATGATGTTAATGAATGTACTTGAACCAGTGTGATAAATCGATCTAACCTTTGATGGACCGCGGACTTTCTTGATATCGCCGTATCCAGTTCTCAAAGCAGTTTCGCCACCTACCATTCCTGTTGTGTCGCTCATCATGAGAACACAAACGAATGGATAACTGTCTCTGTGCCAGCCGACGATAGCTTTTTCATCATCCTCGCTGATTAAAGCACTGCTATCATGATCAAGTCTCTCTCCCGGGACAGACAAGTTGATATGGCCAATTTCGTAATCCATAACCGGAACAAGATCAACGCCTGCGATTTTAGAGATGATTGCAAGAGTTTCGGGGTGCTTCCAAGCCTCGTAGATAAATTTACCGTGACTGCGAGACAAAAGTACGTTAGTCCAATGAACACAGTCAACAATGGAGTGGATGCAGTCGAGACTTACTCGGGGGCGTACCCACGGAGCTGTTTGGGGGCGATATCTGATGTGTAGCTGTATTTTTCTTGAACTTCCTTGGCGAAAATCTCATCCCTCATAACGTTGACAGCCTCTTCGCTGAAAAGACGAAACGGCTCGGAGACAGCAATGGGAGAGACACCACTCGTTGCAGAATACCCAATTTCCTCCATGGTATGAATATAGCTAGGCTCTTCATATTGAAGATGACTCTCAGGTTGGAATAATTTTCCAACAGCCTGTGTACTATGCTCGGAAGCCAGATACTTGGCGAAGGATCGTTTGAGATTGTCCTGAGTTGCTCTTGTGGAAGTATAGTTTGCCATCTTAGGGAACAAGTTTGGCTCAGGAGTTCCTGGTTGGTAGCTCACGTCGAGAGTAGCCATTTTTTTGATGTGGTGATCCTTTATATTTATCTGAGAAAGGTACTAGTCGTGTGGTACTTGTAGCGTGGAAATTGTTAATTTCAAGAAATGAGATTCGGAGATGAAAGGATTGAGGGCCGATTGCTTGCTATCCAAATACTATTTACTGTCAGATGAATATAAAGACGGCACAAGGAGTTGATGGGCTTAAGGGACATATAGCCCGTAATTAGAGGGCACCCCCCAAAACAATCAATGGGAAGCGATGGTGACAAGTTTGACCGGAGTTTGACTTTTGACGCATTGCCAGCTCAATCACCACGTCCCAATATCTCGATGGCCTTTGAAGCTGATCGAAACTTATCGATTGTCCGCTTGAATTCGAGATAACAACCTCAAAGGATAGGAAGAGGAGGCCGGTGCAAGAAAACGCACTTGTGCATCGTAGACAAACACATTGGAAGGATTGTGAGGAATGTGGATATACTCACTGGATCAATATATCTGAGGTGCGAATGATAAGTAACTTTCTGGTAATAATGATGGATCGTGTTGTAGCACAAAGGAAGAAATGTTGTATGATAAGATGTTATGATAGCTATTGCAAGTACCGGCTCATGAGGGACGGTTCTTTTATATCTATAGGCAATTTATCAATACCTCACCAATGAAGCACAATTTACGTCTCGTGTGGTAGTTTCTCGGTACAACGGGTGTCGACCAACCATCACCATACATCTATTGACCGTCCGTTACTTTTTCACGTCCTCGATGCTTCGATCCTGGCCGCCCTTGCTCTGCTCCTCCACAACTTTTGGGCTGCGATTATCCCCTCCCAGATTACTTTGGGCGAGGAATGTGGAGATAGTTTCACGATATCTTGGTTGTAATCATTACTCTAGCATACTCCTTATCGTCGAAAAGTATCCAAACTGGTGATCGACGTGCCTAGGTCTAGCCCAAATAGCAGAATCGATATCTCCTACTAAGACGACTCAATAATAGCGCTGCATCAAGCGGCCATGGATGCAGGGTACTGCAACCAAGATACATTTGCATGGAAACTGTTTCTGCAAATGGATAATGGAAACAACACGAATGATAAACGGGTTCAAGATAACGTCGTAATGCAGTCCTAGCCTGACCATGATACCCAATCGGTGAGCTCCCTCAGCATCAAATCAGCCACAGACACAAGGGAATTGTATACTAGTTTCGATTTTGCGGTTGACAATGGATGGACAGAGTACAAATTACCAAAGTTCAAAAGGCGGCCACCAATTGTGGAGACACGTAGAATCAAAAGTGGAGGGAATTCGAGAGGTGTGGAGGGCTAATGCATCACGAGTTGATCAGACCAGCAGCTGGAAATGATGACCTGAAATGGAACACAAAACGCTTATTAGCACTATCGGCTATATTTGGCATGCCTCGCTTGATGCATTGAGCCATTGACGGGCTTAGGAAACCTGTCAAGAATATTCTTGGAACATCCGACAAAGACAAGAAAGAACAAGAACAGAGAAACTGAGACGCAATGAAGGTCGTAATTGATTACCTCAATGGAGAATCGCAACAAAGAATCGCAATGGGAGAATTAACACCGTCTCTATCGTTCTCGGTTCGCAAGGTGATTTCTCACATTAACCAATACTGGACTCGACACTTCGTATTGGAAATAGAGATTCGTATCTGTAGTACTAAAGTAGGATGGAACCTCATTTCAACAATCTACCGTTGGCAATCATCGCAAGACCGTTCAAATCTGCAGAAGAAAGTTGTCACGGTCCCGATAACAACATTGCCAACGAGAGGATAGTTGTGTGGAGAGGCTGGTGCTTTGGAAAGAGTCCCCGGTAATAGGCCATCTATCATAAGTCGAAGTAGATTGAGTCTATTAATGATACTGTCAATCTGACGCGTAGGGAGTTGACGATACGATTGATCAAGTGCATCCATTTTCAGTGATATCGACGATGGTGAGGACAGTGATTATTTTTCATTCTGTAGCATTGTGAGCTTCATGTTGAAAATGTTCTAGCATACGTATAGTATACGTATAAGCATGCTCCTATATCGCGGATCTGAATCAATTGGAATGATGGTGTAGGAAGGTTGTGTGAATTATAAGAAGTGTTTTAGTCGACCAACTGAGCAATGACATTTTGTGGTACCTCGCTAAGAGGCAGGTAGATACGTAGATACCGATAAGAGATCCTTGCTCACTGATATTGATAAGAAAAGCACATTGATTGATTGATTTGCCAAGCAAGCCATTCGGCTGATCTTGTATCCATCGGCATCGGCATCGGCATCGGGCATCGGGTATCGGGTATCGGAGATCGGGCATGGATGGGGACTTCTTTTAGAAAGGCAGGAAGGAAGCTTTGACTTTATTGAGCACGAAAAGTATGTATGTAACCTTATCAAAGAAGTGACTTCAACCCACCAATATCAACCAATATCAACCAACATCTTCAGTCTTCAGTATCATATCAATCTGCACATCAATCTATATTACTGCAGGGATACGCTATGTCATCAGATAAACCTACAGATAAACCTACCGATAAACCTACAGATAATCCATGGGATAAAAAGACGAGTCAGAAATTTGAAAGGTATTGATAGCTCTGCATTCATTTCATGCAATTCAATTGTTGCGAAGAACTCAAGAATGCTGATTCTGTCCTCCCAGTAAACGTCCTGGGGAATACTTTGACCCTTGTCAAGAAGCTGCTGCGAGAAGCTTGAAATGCTTGGCTCGAAACGGAGGTGATAGAGATATGTGTACAGACTATTTCCAGTAAGCTATTCCCCAGGATTTGATATGAAAGGAAGTGGGACTACCGGTAGTAGTTCAGCTGTGTGTGGATTCTTACATCCAATGAGCCATGCGAGCAAGCTATAGCTTGTCCATTGCGGGTATCACAAGTTGCTTTTAGACCTTTGATACACAAAGATTGTGTGCTGATGATTTTTAGAGCATATCGAGACTGTAAGAAGCAATGGGTATGTATCAAAATTTTCTATCAGGGGAACAGCTAACAGTTTGCTGATTTGATTCTAGATTGAGCAAAGAAAAGAAGACAAGAGGAAAGCGGGATGGTTTTCATCATGAGGGAGCTTTGAGGGAGCTTTCGTTATGGCCGGATTGCGTCTGATGTGATATGTCAGTTAATGAGAAATGGGAATGGGATGAGCATGGGGAAACGAAGGAACATTTCACTCGCATAGTATTCTCAAAATTAAAGGGGGTGCTCGATTCCTTCAGATTGAAACTAAAAGCACATATTATTTACGGAGTACAATACTATACCTAGATATCCATCACCACCCTCGGGCTTAAACACTGTGCCAATATTTAGGCAATATTAAGCATCTTTTGAATTGATAGTACCAATCTTTATTAAAACAGCACAACGTAAATTTACCTTCCTTACATTATGTATACTTTAGATTATGTTTAATTACCATTTATTTATCAATTTAATTCATGGGATGTGTTTGGAGCGCTGAGAATTTGGTGTTCTTTCTCGCTTGCGAAAATTCAATGATATGGCCAGCCGAAAAATTATTTTGATACTGTATTGATTGATCTGTACAAGATTGTTTCCAGACTGGCATCCGAGGACAAGCCACAGAACCTGCATATATCTAATTCATATCTGGAAGATAATTTATTAGACCTCACCCTGGACATTTCTGTGGTGGCCTATAGCCCTTTGAGTTATGGCTGACAAATTACTCAATGATCGTCAAGATGTCCCCATTTGGAATGCTATTGAGGCCGGCAATTTCAAGCAAGCGTTAAAATTAGTTGACAAGAGGCTGGCCAAAAAGCGGACGTCTCATTTAGAGGTACGTGTTGATGGTGAATAATCACTCCAACCCTAGATCATGTATCATATACAGATTTCAACATCTCATTTTCACGTGACTCCCGACTCTCATCTTTCTCCATCTTACAAGTATAGCTAAGCAAACTTCCAGGCATTCAAGATTTATATCAGATCACGATCGCCTGCTCAATCTGAGAGGGATGTCGTACTCCCCCATATCGAAGACTTGATTGTCAAGAAAGAGGTTATCGCGGATCAGGAGGACATTGATCTGTATGACGATGCTTTGATCCATGTTATCCCAGAGGCTGGAGCAATTTGGGCAAAGACGATTGGAGAGTTGCGATGGCAGAGTGTCAAAGCATACCCTAAACACGAAGAGTCCGGACTGAAGTCATTCAAGGCCTGTCTATCGGAACGTGACTGGGAGCATGCTCAACAGGTATTTCGTCTTGTCGCTTTCTTACCCACGAGAATGCTAACAAAAGGTTTGCTAGATTGCAAGTAGTCTTGAGAAGACCTTTCCAGGCAAACATCAATACGTTTTTTGGAATATCTCTTCTTTGTTCTTAAGATCTGTAAGTAATCGTACGAAATGCTTTAGGCTTTATTACTTACCTGTCATCAGATGTCGGACGATCTTCCCATCGAGAAAAGAACTCTATGGGGCCGTTTGGCTTTTGGGCAAATTAGTAAACTTGCCACGGCTACAATTCAAGCAGACGTATGTGATCACTTTTTGCCAATTGTTACTGATATTAACCAAAACATGCTTCCAGAAGTCAAAGTCTCTTCCAACTCGGGCGATACATACACCACAGGAGCTGTTGCTCCTACAGCGGATTACTGCCGCACACGGAAAATTGGAAGATCAGTTAAAGTATTTAAACGAACCTTCTCTTGGACCGGAGTCAATAGTTGCCAAAGGGGACTGGGAATTATGGAGAAATAAATTACAGCTCATGGATGCATCTGAGCAATGGCAAGAGCTTTTCGAAGTAACTGGCGGTCTTCTTAAACGAGCACGCACGAAGGATGAACGTGGACAAATCATTGAGGCGAGAATGGCTGACTGGGCCGTATGGCAATCGTATCTACGCTCAGCTCTTGCTTTGCAAAATCCTTTGTATGTACTGTGATATAAACAATTTGGACAAAAACTTACAAAAGCAGGACCCTCGATCATGTCTCAACAGAAATTGCAGCTCATCTCAACCCCACTTCTGGAATTGACAAAACGTGGAGACGAAATGCATCTTTAGCCTGGTTTGAGTTTACTTTCAAGAACTCTTCTACCCCATTTGCTACTGAATCTTCGGGACCAGATGTAGAAAAATACCCACGGGTGACTGCAATCGTCAAATATTTACAGGAGTTTGGCGATGCTACCACAGCCTATAGCGATCTCAGACCTTACGTAGAGCTATCACAAACCGAGGAACGGAGTAAATTACTCGATATTTTGAAACAGGGACTTCAGTTTGGTAAGACAGCGAAGAAAAATGATTTGGTTTCCGAATTAAAGGCCTTGTCCATTTCCAAAAACAAAGTAAGCCACACCCTAAACATCGCCTCGGTCTTTCTGTCCTGACATTTTAATACAGTTCGAAAATGCAAACGATATGATCAGATGTGTCAATCTTCACAAAATAACTTACCTTGCCATGAGCAGTATCTCCGAACATGAACGTCGGTCGAGTCCACTACACAGATCAGGCGAACACTCATTTACTTGTACTCACTGCTCCAATCCTTGCGAAATTTACTGCAATGTCTGCCTCGAGCAGCTCTCCAAAAATTCCATTGCGGCTTACAAATCTGCAATGAATGACAATGGCCGAATTTCTAAGTCTCTTCTACCTACCGATAGGCATCCTGCCGATGACTTCTGTACATTAGCGGCAATGTGCTTGATGAAGCTCGCTATCTCCGGCTCCGGCGATGTCGATGGATCTCTAAAGAGCAAGCAAGTTGCTCATGCTCTACAAGCAGCAGTATTCCTCGAATACGGCTGGTCACAGTCTAAATCAAACTCCGACTTCTCACTCATGTTGGTCAGAATATACTCTTCGCTTGGCTGCGGTCAACAAGCCATGAAAGCATACCTGCACTTAAGTTTGAAGCAGATTCAACTCGATACTCTAGGATATAGTTTACTTGATAGGATCTCATCATTGCATCCTCATCCATTTGTTTCTGCGCCGGACGGCTCCTCTGACAATCTTAGCCCCCTAGACCATTTCAAGAATCAAAGAAAGATGTACAGAAATTCCCGTTTCCAAGTTTCGAATAACACCTGGAAAGCATTTGAGCATGGAAGTTACAACACCATATTTCAGTTCCAGGAGTTCTCCGGCATTATCTCCAACACAGTATCTGCGGTATCTTCTGCCGTCGAAACCAGAAAGATATCGCGGCTTTTGAAGCAACACGCGCCTTCTGACATTTTTGACATTCTTCGTAAGTTTACCTCACTCATCATGTACACTCGAAGTTGATCTAACATGTGACCAGCCAAAAATCCAGAGATGCTAGATACGTTCTCGGATTCCAATGATTATGCTTCATTTCCGGACTATGAATTTACATTAGGACTAGGACTTGAGAAGTTGACCCGGTTTGCACCTGGCCCATCTGTTAGTTTTCACATTAGAACCATACCTGCAACCTACTAATTCCATGTAGAGAAACCGAAGCCGTATAAACTTGCTTATTGAGAAATTGATATCCATGATAAATCCGGAATCGACCTCCACTCCACTCGACCTCACCTCCTCTAGAGAGACCCTTCTTCGTATATCAATCGAACTCCACAAACAAGTCGAATTGATCAAAGCCAGCAAAGAAGGAATCTTCTTGACACGCTTAGAAACATCGATACTCGGAGCATACATCAACCTCGCCTCTATCATCGTCAAGTCCTGCGATCTCACCGCATCATCCACACCAGATTTCCAAGCCTCCCTCGAAACCTCCAACAAATCCCTATCCGCAAACCTCGAACAGCATCTCTCCTTCATTAATGAAAAACAACACACAACTCCAGCTCTATGGGATACCCTTCATACTCTGTACACAGCCTATGACTTTGCATCTAATCTTATCAATGCTACGAAATTCCTCGCGCAAAAAGATGCAAAGGCTCATAAATTGCAGATAAAGCATAACAGAGCTTTGGTAGAGGGAGTGAAAAGCGTTATGGAAGCAGTGGTTGAGAAATCAAAGGCTATTAAGAATGGATTGGATGAGAGTGGATGGATTGATCAAGTGTTGGAGAGTATGGAAGTGGGAGAGTCGGGGGAGCAGTTGAGAAGTTTGGTGGGGGATAATTTCATGGAGGAGTGGGCTGGGTGTGTGGTAGAGGGGTGGAGAGAGTCAGTGGCGGGATTGGGCTTTTTGAAGGTCTAGGCTAGGGTTACAAAAAATGGCGTGGTGGTGGTACAGTACAGATATATGGGAATATGCTATGTAGTGATCTATCTTTGGGATGATGTCAAGAGGCATCATAGCTTCTTATCTTCCCACGAATTTCCTCCCATATGAGTGAGGTTCATATCTCAAGCATCCCCCTATATTGATGTTCATATCCACATTATATTGTCTCAAGTATTCACCCATATGTAAAAATATTGAAATATTTATCCAGTTCATGCACTTCATCCACTCAAGCTCCACAGAAGCATATTGATCCTCCTCACATCATATCTTCTTCAGCAGCCCTCCTCTTCGCATGCTTAATCGCAATCTGCTGTCTCTCCTCTCTCAACGTCACAAAAACCCAAAACCACGCCATCATTTCTATAAAGGCCCATGTGAATACGATGCGGTTCTTGAGGCCCTCGCCCCAACCTCCGGCGCGGTAGGAGGCGCGGGATGTGAGCATTGGGGAGGTGGAGGAGAAGAGCCAGGAGTAGAGGGCGAGGGCTGCGGTGAGAGAAAAGCGGATGGGTGCTGTGTAGGGAGGGAGGTTAGTTTTGTGGGTTAGGTGTGGATTTTGGGTGTGAATGGAAAGGGGAGGGGTAGAAGAGTGGTAGGGTGGATTAACCTTGAGATCCCCAGTGGTATTGGGTGATTTCTTCAGGCATGGATATAGATACGAGGTCGGTGATGCCGAGGAAGAGAAAAACTATTCCGAGGAATGATATGGGTGCGGATTGATGGTCGAAGGAACGTTCGTAGGGCTATTATATATATAGGTGATTAGTATATGAATTCTAACCACAAGTCTCGTCCTGATACACAAATGATTGGAAAACAGAGAAGAGCTCACCATTCCCATCGATTCACCCATGATGAAAACCAGCGACTGCTCAGCAATGGTAACGGGATTCGTGATGAAGAAAAAGGCGAGGGTGATGTGGAAGAGGGAGAGAGAGGTAATAATGGTGGCTCCTGATATTATCCCCATGTTGAGTGATTGTTACGATCTAAGGACTGATTTGAAAGGGGGAATGGATGAGAGAGGAGAGGAGTTTGGTTGTGCTGGATAATCTTTTGGGTCAAAAGATCATATTGTTTATTTTGTGACTTCGCAAGGCCAGATGCTACCCAAGCTATCCTTGAAAACTTTAATTGATATAGGCGTTATGGTTTATCCGGGCTCCGAAGCAATGACATATAGGTAGGCGTTCCGGTGTCAAACGGTACCCCCCGTCAGATTGAATAACCCGTAATGGGAATAATCCTAGAAATATCCCGAGCTGCATGTCTTTGAGCTTTGACCCTCAAAACACCAGATGAGAAGACAGAGTCAACAGGGGCAATAGAGTCAACTTATTTAATCATCAAACAAGATTGTCAAAATGGGGGAACCCAAGTTGGAGATTGCCAAACATATCAAGTATTGGCAAAGGTGTTTAAATTCTCTATTACCCACTGTCTACACCAGCACCGATTCCTCGCGCTTGACTCTTGGCTTCTTCATCCTTTCTGCTCTCGACTTGCTTAATGTTGGCGCATCTACATTTCCAGATTCGCGACGCAAATCTATCCGAGCTTGGATTCTGAAGTGTCAGCATCCGTTTGGGGGCTTCTGCGGTTCTACTAATCATAGGTTTCCTGATGTTTATTATGCAGATGTAGGGCATGGAAAAAGGGACATTGATCCCGCGAATTTACCTGCGACTTTTTTCGCGATTTTGAGTTTAGCTTTTGTGGGTGGATTGGCGGATGTGAAACGGAAAGATTGTTTGCAATGGTTGAAAAGTCTGCAAAGGGAGGATGGTAGTTTTGGAGAATTTGTGACGGAAGATGGGAAAATACAAGGTGGGAGAGATATGAGATACTGCTATGTGGCTACAGCGATTCGATGGATGTTGACTGGGGATGCGCATGAGGAGAGGGGAGAGGAGGATATTGATGTGGAGAAACTGGTGGGGCATCTAAGAGCCGGACAGACATATGATGGGGGAATCTCAGAGAGTGCTCAGCATGAGGCACATGCTGGATATACCTATTGTGCCATTGCGTCCTTATCTCTTCTCGACCGCTTGCCGAAACACCCCTCTTCACAACCTGCCGAATCATCAACTTCTGACCCCACTTTGGCTGGTCTCACAAATCTACCGGAAACTATCAGATGGCTAGCATTGAGGCAGACATCGTACAATGAAGAAGAGGAAAGGCAAGGAGACGAAAATGACCATATGGAAGCGGAATTAGACCATCGTTTCGTACCCGACGTCGATTCTACGTTCGTTGGCTTTAATGGGCGATGTAATAAGCGGGTTGATACGTGTTACTGTTTCTGGGTTGGAGCTTCTTTGAACATGCTCGGTCATCCCGAAATTATCAACAAAGCTGGATCTCGACGATTTCTATTTGAGAAAACACAGCATATGATTGGGGGCTTCGGGAAAGCGCCTAGAGACCCACCAGATATCTATCACTCGTATCTAGGTCTTGCTGCTCTAGCAGTGCTGAAGGAGCCTGGGATTAAAGAACTCGACTCCGCATTGTGCATCAGTGTGGATGCTAAAAAGAACATAGAGGAATTAAGAACAGCTGCATTAGTTCGTAATAGGACATATTGGGTGCATGGATACAGTTTCTCAATCAGGGAAGATAGTCCCGAATTTGGAGAGAAGATGGCGATGAACGAAGGTCCGCCCAAAAGTCTAATCGATGCTTTCGAAGGAGTTCAGATAGCGCTATAATCACGGCGTCGTAATTGTTGGCTAGTTGTTTTTGTAAAACCATTTCAATGATACCTCATGAGTTCTTGTCTAAAAATACATATGAAGCTGTAATGATTGGCTTGGTACAATCAATCCCACATTCTCACTGTTGTTGTGTAACTATCTCTAAGCTTATCTTCAAAATGTTTCTTCAACACAACCCCTGAATACTCGAGTATGCATTCCTCGGCTTTTTATCGGTAAAGCACCCCAGCTTTTGTTTGCAACGTCATTTGCTGAAGCTTCGAGCTCTTTTCACCAATAGCTCTTTCAACCTCGTTCAAACATCACAACGTTCACAATGAGGCTCGTCACGCTCTCTCCCCTCCTTCTTCTGGTAAATGCAGTCCATTCTTTTGATACGCAGAGCCCAATCGTCGACAAAATAGCCTCAGGCTCATTGTCCCTGCTCGGACTCCACAAATCCCTTGTCCAAATTGAATCCATTACAGGAAACGAACATGACGTCGGCGCATTTTTAGTTTCTTATCTTAAGAAGCAGAATTATACGGTGGAAACACAAGACGTTGATTTGGTCGAATCTTCGTTGTTAGGGAAGAAGCGCCAGAATGTTTTGGCATATATTGGGGACAAAAGACGGACGAGGACACTTGTAACTTCGCACATCGATACTGTGCCGCCTTTTTGGCCATATGAGCGAAGAGGTGATGAGATCTGGGGAAGAGGAAGTGTAGATGCGAAGGGGAGCGTCGCTGCGCAGATTACCGCATATCAAGACCTAGTTTTGGAGGACAAGATACGGGAAGGAGATGTCGCGCTTTTGTTCGTGGTAGGCGAGGAATCATACGGGGCTGGTATGAAAGAAGCTAATAATTTTGGTCTTTCGTGGGAGACGGTTATCTTTGGCGAACCTACGGAACTGAAATTGGCGGCTGGACATAAGGGGATCATGAGTGTGCATATTACTGCGAAGGGCAAAGCGGGACATTCGGGGTATCCTTCATTGGGAAGAAATGCCAATTCGATGTTGATACCTGCGCTTTATGAATTGGAAAGAATCGACTTACCGTGGAGTGAAAAGTATGGGAATACAACCTTGAATATTGGGAGGATTGACGGTGGGGTTGCAGCAAATGTTATTGCTGAAGATGCCATCGCAAAAATTGCGATTAGAATTGCAGCGGGAACGCCAGAGGAGATACAAAAGTTGGTTTTGGATGTTGTGGAGAAGACGGGGCAAGATTTAGAGGTCACTTTTACTCAAGGTTATGGACCAGTGCATTGTGATAGTGATGTTGAAGGGTTTGATACCATCACAGTTAACTACGGTACTGATGTTCCAAACTTGGAGGGAGACCACAAGAGGTATCTATATGGACCGGGAGATATCTTAGTCGCTCATTCAGATCATGAGCATCTCAAGATATCTGATCTTGAGGAGGCTGTAAGAGGTTACAAAAAGCTCATCGAGTACTCGCTGGCTTAGTTATATTATTATACACCTCACTCCTCGCTTCACATTTTCGCGACCCACTTATCGCTTATTCACAACAACTACCAAAATACCTCAATTCCAAAAATCAAAGAACCAACAATACCAACCGCAAAAGTGACTAAAAATAACAAAAGAAATTCCGCTCCCTTGAGAACGGAACCCAGAAACCGGGTGGTTATCTGTGGCAACAGAGCATCTAGTCCCCTATGGGCAGTGATCCTTGTGCTGGCCAGTCACGCAAACCACTGAACCATAGGCGAGCTAGATGTTATTGATGAAAGGTGTCGTAGTTTGGATTAAGTAGTTTGGTTACGTGAGGCTTACTGATGCAATATTTGGGTATAGAAAAGACAGAGGAACCTCGCCCAGCGTCAGGAGACAAGATCAACTAAAGAACCACGGATGCTTTTTATCCTCGACATGAACCTCATCCACCATGGAATCCTGGAATGAAACCCCTTCTTCCATTAGACTCCGAAGCAGAACTGATACCTTGTGATATCTCAAATAATTCTTTGACTGACAATGTTGGTGCTACAACTCTCGTACGTATAATCGGGATTGCCACCTAAGGAGTACTACTGTAGTACAATGAGAAATTGAATGAAAGAGCCCCCGATTAAGCGTGTGTACGATGCTCGCTCTTTCCTCTAATTTATGATCTCCTACCGGTACTCGTCCCACGTTTTGGGCCACGCCGCTACAATCGAACCATATCAGGTATTGACTGTTATTAACAACGTTCCATCTTTCTAAAAATTGATACTTTAGGATTGCCATTGAAACTTATTTTAGTCTTTCCTTCTTGACTTTTCCTTACACGATACAACCAGATCCAATTTTCATATTATTTCCTTGCGATACATGAGAATTACAGACATCAGTATGTACACTATCCAATCATGTTCTCAGAACTCCTGGTTTCATAACCTCGAGCATATATAATCATTGGGTTGATGTTGACTTCAATGTAGAGTATTTTCGACATTAAAATTCTCTCCAAGACCATTACCGCGGCCAGTATGACACTCACAGGTGATAGCAATAAGGCACTCTTTGAAACTCCAGCTGGTGCGTTTTATGGGTAAGCAATCTATACTCTGTATTTTAGCATCATTTTACTCATCATTAATAGTAAACTTGACCTTTTAAAAGGCGATGGGGTCCTTGTTTCTCTAGCCCCTTCTGGCAGCGAAGCTAAGAAAACTACTCGACTTATACCCCAAGCCCTTCTTTTCTACTATTCGAGCGTTTGCGAGGAAAAGTTCGGCTCATCGCTACGTAAAAGTGATAGTAATGAAGAACTCATCGATATCAATGAGCGAGATAATCCACACAATCTTGGTGTCATTGATCTCTGTGAATGGGACGCCGAGGCCTTCGATATGGCACTTCAATGGATGTATACAGGCAACGTCAACCCCGACATCGACGCGTCCAAACATTTCGACGAAATCAAATCTTACGTCAATTTCTTCAAGATTGCAACAGCACTCCAACTCAGGTTCTTTCAAAAACGTGGAACAGAAACTTAGATATGCACTTATCGCCGCAAAAGAGAAACGAGATCATGACAACAATGGGCTCTTCACTTGCAACCCAGTATTCAAAGAAACGCTTCAAGATGCTTTTACGCAACCCATCAACAGCGTTGTCCGCGAGCTCTTGGCAAGTTTCCTCGTCGAATCGTATGCCAAACACTTATTTTGTCCCGATGACACCAGAACGGCAAAGAATTTCAAAGATTTGTTCAAGGCCGTGGACTGTCTAGAACTGGAAGTTCTAAGATTGGTGGCTTTATCGTTGGAGGATATCGCGTTGTCAAAACCGAAGAGTGATGGATTTTCGGTGGTACGCTTGTTGTGTCCGTTGACTGGGGAGAGGTTTAAGACGGAGAAGATGTTGATGGTGCTTGTTCCGCCGACTCCGGGTAGTAAGTGAGATTTGAGGTGTTTTGGGTGAAGGAATTGGGGGTTCTTTCGGTTGTCAGATGAATAATGGTAATGCGAAGATCTTGGGGTTTTTGGCTGTGGTATGAGGATTAGGTACCGTGGTGATTACCTGGCTTCAATACTATGCACGTTGATTTACATTTGAGTTTGAGTTTGAGTTTGTGAATCGTGAGTCAATGTCATGCAAATATCATGTAATGAGTGTTCCTTGATCCCATCTTATTCTCACAATGACAGAACTATTCTTGAATCTGTCTAGGAGGTGCTTTTCCCTGAAAATCCTCCCGAAGTCTCCAAGGCTGTGGAAATACTTGGCCTGGTGGATCATCTCGATAATGCAGAGCGAAATATCAAGGCTATTTATTCTATTGAACGCAATAGAGGAATCCTGATACGACAAGTAGGAAGAACTGAAGGGGTTGAGGAATAGTAGACACTACCTCCAAGGCACCAAGGGGCCGGAGTCAAAGCTCGTAGATTTATATAAATCCTACTGTATGTATATAAATCCAGTTTCTTTTTTCCTTGACAGAATTATGAGTATATATATAAATAATCACCTATTTGACGAATATACAAAACATATAGTACGTACGTATTTTTTGTTATTTTAGGGGCTCCCATAGGGTTTAGCGAGGTGGTAATTGATTGACTGACTCACTGACTGACTGATATAAGGAGAAGCTTGTAGAGTAGTTATTTGCTGTATAATTGATGTTTTATTTGTGCTTCAAATTTCTTGCAGTTAAATCCTCTACTCAATATTCTACTAAATACTCAATACTAGGTACTTACAGTCTAATTATTATCTACTCGCTCCTCATCTTGACCCATCTTGTCAAATCCCGAACATATTTCCTTTCACATAACTTGAAAGGAAATAATTAAAATAAATTCGATATATCCCGCAGGTTCAAACCCAAGACCATGCACATCATGGACGATATTAAGGTCGGCTCGGAGATGAAAAATGCTCTAGCTCCAGCTCCCAAAGAGCGTCATCTACCCCCTCCTCCTCCTCCTTTTCGCTCCTCTCCTAAGCCCCGAAAAATCCTCATACTCTCCTGTAGATTTGTCCATTTCTTTTGACCTGCCTAATTCTTCAAAATCTTCGATTTACCCTATGGTACTCCTTGAAAAAGGAGGATAGTTGGTAATCTTAGATATTTCTTTTTGGAAATGTGTTATTATTATTATCATATTCTACTCAAATAAAGACTTTTTCAGCGCTACTATGCCCTCCCATCCCCTCCTTGCCATTTCTTAAATCTATGCTCTTCTTTTTTCTCAACTCTCCTTTCCTTTCCCCTCCTCTCCTTAACTTTTCTTCAATCTATGCTCTCCTTCGATTTTCCCCTTATTCCTAACCTGCCTAATTCTCTCAATTGAAGCTATCCTTCCTCTCCTTTCCTTAAGGAGAGGAGAGGAGGGGAGATTGCATATGCTGCTAGTAGTAGTAGTACCGTTTTCATGGCGATACTAAAATAACCTCCTGTTACCCTCCTTTCACTTCATGCTTTCCTCCTCATCCCCTCCTCCCCCCCTTACCCCTCACCCCCCTTCCCGTATCTTCCCATATCTCCCCATCCCACCCTGAGCCCCCCTCGAATCTCCTCTCACCTACCTTCCCAGAAATCCACCATCCATCATCCTCATCCTCATCCTCATCCTCATCCTCTCCCTCCTACCCCTTTACTTCTTTCCACCCTCTTTCTTCCTTGTAGTATTGACATTGACATTAATATTGGCATATGATATTAATATTGACATCAATATCAACAATTTGTGATTGTAATTGATATTGATGGAATTATCATGTTCCATACCTCCATTCCCTACCTTTCTTCTGCACTTCTTATCTTACCTTACCTCACCTCACCTCACCTCTACCCATCACCTTCAATCCTTACCTTCACTTCACCCGCCCACTTCAGGTGATCTGGACTTGCCTTTCAATCATTTCTTTCAAAATCACACTATCCTTCTCCATCTCCATCTCCATCTCCATCTCCTACCTTAACTTCAACCTCTCCTTCAACAACAGTATAACCACACACCATACACCAAACACCCCACCATACACTCTCAGCACGCTGGTAGTAAGTACAAGTAACTACTCATAAACAATGGCCATCTGTCATATATACTCATATCATACCGATATCAATTCGATCTCGGAAGAATTCCAAGTCAAGTACAGGTAGTCACCGTCACACACAAGAGAGAAAGAAGGGAATTGAGGCATGCGTTTGTGTGGGAGGCAGTACAAGCAATACTGTCATTATACAAATTCTGCATATTTCAAAAGAAGAGTTGAATGAATTTTAAATCTTATCCCTAGGATCGATATTTGAGTTTCCCAAATTCCCATAGTACGCGAACCAAACCAAACCAGATCAGACCTTGTAAAGGAAACGACGAAGACTCCATATTTTCCCCCTATCCATCGAGCCCAATCGCAAAAGTTCATAGATGTTGCGAAAGTAAAGGAAAACCCACGCCCAAATGTCAAATTAACCCGATCAAGCAAACCATCATCTCAACCCACCACCTCTAGCACTCTCGCCCACCCTAACACCCCCATCTTCTTCCGCATCTTTGTCTTTCACACCATCCCTAGCCCTCCCAACTGCCATGCTAGCCGTTGTACTGACACTCTCGCTTCTTGGTCTGGTCAAACTCGCATCACTTTGTCTCCTATCCCTTATTGTCCTCTCCAACTCCCTAATCTTCTTCTTCAACGCCTCGTTCTCTTTCTTGACACTCTCTAGTTCTTGTCTTTGAAAAGCTGCTTCCTCATATCTTCCCGTAGTCGGCACACTTGTCGCACTAACAACATCTCCCCCAGCACCACCACTCATTGTTGGAACATTGCCTGATGAATAATCACGATGTTGTAATATACTAGGTCGTTGTTGTTGGTGATAGAAGTGCGAAAATTGATCAGCATGTCCATAACTACCGCTCAATGGTGCAGGACTACTGGCTCCGGATCTTTGAACGCCGGTCGTGGAGTTTTGACGACTGATGGAGATAGATTGAGGTAGAGAATCCACGCGACGGGCAGCAGGAGCCGCGATCCCGCTGGCTGCGCTAATGCTACCGGCCGTAGCAGTGATGCTTCGAGTAGAGTTGCTAGAAGACGTGCGATGATGGCGACGATACGAAGGTAAGGGATGATTGGGACCGGAGAGGAGATGGTTTGTATTGTCTAATGCATCGGGATGACCCGCGGAAGTGGATGACGTGTTCGAGACGACGGAAGCATTTTGGGCAGCGCGGAGCATAGTGAGTTCGCGGGTTAGACGATTTACCTATGGTCACATTGCATAGATTAGTAAATATAATCAAAAGTTAAAGAAGCAGACCATGAAAACAAACATACAACCGCTTCCTGTTCCTTCTCCAATTGTAAATGCAAATCCGCAGCCGTCAAAGGCCTTGGATGTCTCAAAGGTCCAGGTCCCATTCCTACACCTGTATTGTCTCCTGCTAGAATTGTTCCCGTGGCAGATGTCAAAATGTTGTTAGGTGACATCAAAGGAGGTGAAGCTGCAGCTACAGCACTTTGATTGGAAGGAAGAATGTGAAGGGATGTCGCCGAGAGACGAGGATTTGATGAAGACATTGCTTGAGAAGTGCGTCGAGAAGGAGTACGAGATGTGAGACGTGGAGAGGCAATAACCTCCTGAAGTCTTGGAGATGGAGGTACTGAGTTTAGATCTGGTGCCATGACATTCAAACTGGGTAAACCGTGGAATACGTGCGACCTAATTACGGGGTTATGAATTGGTAGGTTTCAATGCGGCGGGACCATAATATACACAAGAGATTTGAAAATAAGTAAGGCTGTTTTGTTCATGGGAGTGATTCGATATTTGATAACGCATTGATCAATGGAACTAGGTAACTAAGGTGAAGCTCAAGGCTAATATCAGATGTGGCTGAAATGGCTAATGCGGCTAGTGTGGCTAGTGCTAAGATCTACTAGTCATCACATGATCAACATCATCCGACGAAAAATTCCCGAATTCCCGCTCAAGTTATCCAGGGGGTGGAGGTGGGGCAACTTTTGCCATGACGTATGAAGGTTAGAGGGGTATATAGAAAGCCGAAGCTTGATTCCTTTAAACTTCATATTCAATTTACAAACAAACAAACAAATAAACGAAACATAATAATCAAATACACATCTTCAAGACAGTAAGTATACATATTTATCTACCGGTACTTAAACCATGTACTTCGTCGCTATCGCCATCGCTGTTGCCGTCTCCATATAGCCTACCTTTCTCATATTTCATATCCCATATTCCATAACCCTCAACCCTCAACCCTCAACCCTCAACCCTCACATCCAACAACTCAAACTAACTCCCCCCAGAACCATCAAATCACCAAATCTTCAAACAAACACACACACAACATGCCCGAAGGACGCCAATCCCCACCACCCGAGACGCAATCCAATGCTCAAAAAGGTACTCCCTCAGACGGCAAAGGGATCAACCAAGGAGGCAACAACAAAGAAGACAGCAAGTCTGAAATTGAGGTATGTATTCCATTCTATATCTACACCCCCCATCATATCATATCCAATTACACCCCTTCATTTACACAAAACCCAAAACAAACAAATACTAACCTCCTGCCCTTCTCCCTCCTCAGAATCTCTCCTCAAACCCCAAAGGACCCCTCGATGATCACGCCAAGGAGGTTCGTTCTAAAGCCGAGAAGTAAATAATTGAAAGGGGGGAGAGGTGGGGTGAAGAGGAAGAGAGTGATGAGATAAGAATGAATGATGAGTTGAGGAATTGTATTTTTAGTTGCTTGCTTACGGGGGATGCAGCACATTGCACACAAACGTACGTTATGAAATGAAATGAAATGAAATGAAATAAACCAGTCATGAATCAAAAATCAGAGTCACAATGATATAAACAAATAAAACAAAATAAATTGTAAACTACTAGTCCGCTGTGAAAAACATATACATAGTAATTAATGTACCTAGTTATTGTAGAACAACTGTAGGTATGTGGTAATGATCCAATTCTTGATTTATATCACGACCTACAAAGTCGAATTGGAGTTCTTGAAGAGAGAGAAAATCATCATTCTTATCAAATTACAAGTCAATGATTCCCGGTGGCTTGCAAAGACCAGTCAAGTGGATCTGGTTATTGTTAGTCTAGCCTCCTAATGAGAACAGGTTTTAAGTGAACTAAACAGTTTCCCAAGGGGCTATCCATACCGATATCTCAACAACAGACTAGCACACTCCTTCAACAAGATGTTGTCACATATGAATATCACTCTGATTATGTTTTTGCCAACATGGTCAAAGATCACGATCATGCCTTGCGGTCTGACGCAATAATTGCGATAACTTCATGATATTTAACTCGCAAACTGATCATTAACCGTCATAATCTCCTAAAGCATCGCTTGCAAGCTGCCGTCGCCGTCCAACCTAATCTGATAGTTCATCCCTGATATCCGTTTTTGAACCCATTCCCGCCCATCCCAAAATTTGTCGCTCGCATAATAAAGATTAAAAAACCCACAACGCTCAAGCAAAGGTTGACTTCTCAGATTGAGGTTCAAGAGGTGCAACCTTGGTCGAGTCAACAACCGCTGCTGAATCAGCTGGTTAGAAGGGCTGTGTCAGCGGAGAACTAATAATACATTTTGATTCCCAAAACTTAAATGAAATAAACATAAAGAAATTCGTTTATTTGCAACAGCCAGTGCAAGCACATTGGCCCGCTGCACAAGGGCAGTCACTGCTATCGCCGCCACACTTGCAAGTTGTCTTGTCGCTACCAGCAACCTTTACCGTCTCGGCCTTGGGGCACGAATTACAGCTGCACTGACCAGGAGCACAGCCGCATTTCGAAGTATTACCGCCGCAATCGCAGGTTGTTTTATCAGTACCCGGAACCTTCTTGACATCGGATTTGCCACAATCGCTGCACGCACAAGACCCGGGAGCACATGGGCAGTCTCCAGAAACTGAACCACACTTACAAGTTGTCTTCTCGGTGCCAGGAACCTTTTGTGTGCTTTCCTGCTTCTTGATATCTGCCAAACGACGAGCCTCGGCATGGATGTCTTGAACTTGGCGGGAAGTTTGTGTGTAGAAGTTGACAAGCTTTTGACCAGTTGGGGTTCCGGCGGCCTTTTCGTAGTAAGAGGTCAAACCGGAAAGAAGAGAGCTGGCCTTTTGGGTAACGCCGTATGATTGATCAACACCCTTGGCCTTCTCAGTGGCATGGTACTTGCTGTCGAGGCCGTTTAAGGTGGCGAGGAAGCGGTTGGAAACTCCATGCTTCTGGTCAAGGTCGATAGCACGTTGAGCAGCGGTATCTCCGATAGCGTAACCATGGGCAAGATATTCTGCGATGATGCGGCTTCTTGGCTTCTCCTCTTGGGTAATGTCGTCGTTATCACGTTGTTCGTTGGTAGTATAATGGCTTCCATCATCCTCATTGGAGCCGGATGCACTTGTAACCTTAACTTGAGTAGAACCAAGTTGGGTGTTGTCGAGTAACAAAGCGGTCTTAGCTGCGGTTTCCTTTTCGAACTGAACGGTAGCATTTTGAGTCTCTCCAACGGATCCAACTTCAAGGCTTGTAATCTTTCCACTGATAGATGTTAGTTATTGCCACAAAGATAGAGACTCGAGGGGGGATGAAGTAGTCACTCACCAGAAGCTGAAGAAGTCTTTGACTTCCTTTTCGCTGGTCTGCGAAGAGATATTTTTGACGTGTACGGTATTGGCAGACATGATGATGTTGATGTTGGTTATTTGGTTTTGCTTAGTTGTGAGATTGTAAAGTTGTGTTGTAGTAAAGGGTTGGGTTGATGTTTGATGGTTGATGGATTTTCTCAATTGTATCGTGGCTCTTTGATTGTATTTGTAGTATGCAACAGGAATGGGAAGGGGCAAGAAAGTGGGCAGATCAAAACAAGAGGGGTTCCTACTCTGTAGTACTGAGTAGCGTACGTCACTGTGGACTTGTGGCGTTTGTGGCTTGTGTAACACAGCCAGCATAAGTGCATTACATAAGCCATAAATTCCCCAATCAATTATTTCAACGATACGGTGGCGAATGAAACCAATAAAATCTTCTATGATCATAGGGTTTTTTGCATGTGAATATCACTTTCCTTTTGATAACAACAGTACGAGCGAGGGAGAAACACACACACACGCACAGAGAGAGAGAGAGAGAGAGAGAGAATGCGATGGTATAAGAGTGGAGAAAGTACAAGATACCTATGGTACTTCATCAACCATCATTTACAAGATATCAACAGTGGGTGCACGGATTTGATTCGTAGACCGCTTCCCAACTTACAATATCCATGATTAATCCGAACCTAGATAGATTCTATTCAAACTGTATACTATCACCCAGCAAGTCTTAAAGACTAAGTAAAGTCTATAAAGGGGTTGTTGCGAGATTCTCATCGTGGTGAACTTTTATATCGCTACATGAGTCCGTGCACTCACTGTTGTATAACGACGACGTGTAAAATATTGTACACAATTCTCTGCATCAGAATACGTATTCTGATGCAACTACCACCTTTGTACTATCAATGAGGATAACTGAGTACCATCGAATCAATACACTTTCAAGATCGCTTATTATGGTTCTTCAAATATCAGTAGCGACTGCAGAAGACGCAGATACAATTGCAACCATTCATCTTGCGGCTTCTAATCAAAATGTCTTACTACATGCTCAATTTCCAACGAAAGAAAGTCTCGCAAGTTTACATGAATGTCTCAAGCAGGATGTTTTAGAAACTTTGAAAGCAGGAAATGTTGAAAGAACTAATTTAGTAGTACGAGATAGCAATACCGACCAGATCATCTCTATCGCCAAGTGGGATTTACCAAATATTACCAAGGATGCCGATGGCTCTTTTTTGAGCATATGGCCTCCGAACGATGCTCGTCAGGACCTTCTTGATGAGTATACTGAAAAGGCCGGAGCTGCGAAAATGAGGGTGGTGGGTGATGCTAGATGCTATCGTAAGATCATCCTAGTCTCAACCACTCTGTTTTCCAATCATTGTCTTATTCTTGGTGTTTTAGTGAACACTTTCTGAACTATTAAAGGCTTTAGACCTTGATATTTCAGGTTTGACACAAATCTCTGTTCTTCAAATTCCATCTAACAACACAGGATAGGTTTGACTTTCGTCGGCACACATCCTGAACATATGGGAAGAGGAGCCGGAACTCTATTGACCAAATGGGGCTTATCGAAAGGCTCCCAGAAGGACATCCCCGTTTACTTGGAAAGTACCGTTTCTGTTTCATCCTTTTATCGAAGATTAGGCTTCGTCTCTCAGGATGGATTTTCAATGTCTCTATCTAATATGGGTATTCATGGCGAGCCTTGTATTTACGAAGAACTATGTATGATTCGAAAGTGGGATGTTGAAGAAGGGATGGACCATTGGGATTCAAGTCTTGATGTATCAAATCTTACGCTCGATTATGAAGCTGGAATTACACCTCAGCTTGTGGTGCAAGCTATTTATGACCGTATTGAAGCATATCAGCAGGTACAGCTATCTCTATGGATTCATCTTCAACCCATTGGCGATGTTATGGGAGCAGCCAACGAGCTGCTCAGACGTTGGCCCGATGAATCGAATAGACCACCACTGTGGGGTGTACCTTTCAGTGTCAAGGATAGCTTCAACGTGGCAGGAATTCCCACTACAATTGGATGTCCAGCTCTGGCGTTCACTCCTACTTCCTCAGCATTCGTCTACCAACGATGTATTGATGCCGGAGCTCTTTTCATCGGCAAAACAAACATGGAACAACTAGCTACTGGCATGACGGGTTGCAGATCTCCATATGGCACACTGCACTCAACATTCAGCACATCTCACATTGTCGGCGGATCGAGTAGTGGTAGTGCGGTAAGCGTGAGCCAAGGGTTAGTATCATTCTCTTTAGGCAGCGATACAGCAGGCTCCATACGGGTTCCAGCCATGTTTAACGGTCTCGTGGGATTCAAACCTACCAAGGGTACCGTTTCGGCTCACGGAGTTGCCCCAGCTTGTCTTCACCAAGACTGTGTTTCCTTTCTGGGTCTCACCACTGAAGATACGGAAACAGTCTGGAAGATTTGCCGAGGTTTTGACAAAAATGACTATTTCGCCAAACCTCCACCATTCCAACTCTCGTCACAGATTCCATCAGAATGTGTCAAACCCACATTCAAATTTGGCACACCGCCAGACTCTGCACTCGAAATCTGTAATCCCATTTATCGTAAGCGATTTCAACATGTCGTAGCCGCTCTAGAATCATCGGGTGGTCAACAAGTAGACTTAGACTGGACTCCCTTCGCCAGCGCCAACGCACTCCTCTACAACAGCACATTCGTTCTCGAACGCCTCACTACCCTCCCCAAAAACTGGTTCGACCAAAATAAAGAATCGCTTCACCCCGTCATCCGCTCCGTTTTCGAAAACGCACTCGCGCGCCATAGTACGCCCATCGATGTCTTCAATGATCTGCACAAACAAGCCGAGTACAAAAGAATCGTCGAGGATATACTAACGCTTGACGATAATGATGAGTTAACCGTCATGATCGTTCCTACGACTCCTTTTCATCCTACGATTGAGGAAGTCGAGAGAGATCCGGTGGGTATTAATGGGAGGTTGGGCGCGTTTGCTCATTTTGCTAATGTGTTGGATTTGGTGGCTGTGGCGGTTCCGTGTGGGTCGTATGGATATGGGTGGGGGGGGAAAAGATTACCGTTTGGAGTTACGGTATTGGCGGGTACGGGTTTGGATCATAGGCTTTTAGGGATGGTGAAGATGTTGGAGGATGGGTTGAGGGATGTTGGGGAGGATGATGATTAGAGGATGAGGGGGAAAATACATGGAGTATCTTAGGTATTGAAATGAGGATAAAATAGTGTGTGTATGTAGGTATGCATCTGAATTTATGGGTATAGGTATGGGTATTGGTATGGGCATGGGCATGGGTATTGGTATATGTATATGTACATACTCGAGTACAGTGCGAATACTCTCTCGACTCGTAAGATAGGAAAACTTGGAAAAATTCAATGGATGTAAGATTTATAAGATATGATATAGAGTAAGAAAGATCATGATGTGTGTGAGTGAGATGAGATGTGAAAACACCCCAAAAATAAATAAATATGAAAAATGAATAATGAAAATTACCTATAGCTACTATAACTCGCCTACTATACTCGAGTACAACTACTAACTATATTCGAGTACTATACTCGCCTACTATACTTGTCTACTTGAATACTAGTAGTTATACTCGAGTACTAGTAGCTGTACTCAAATAGTAACATAAAGCACTGAGATGGACAATGGCAGGGATTTGAGAACTTGGATATTATATTATATTATATCGGTAATGAGATGAGATGAGATTAGTTTAGATTAGATTAGATTAGAGTAGAGTAGAGTAGATGATATGATATGATATGATATGATAGCGCTAGTGTAGTGATTGAATTGTATGGATTTATGAATGAAAGGTATAAATGAATGTATGAATGTATGAAAGATATAAAAGGATAAATGAATAAATAAATAAATGAATAAATGTTCGCAAGAAGCTATCTATATCTTTAAAAAAAATTCCTAATATCTGACTGCTAGTGACTCTTATTTGCGAACGAGCGAGCGAGTGAGCAAAG